TCAGAATAAACCAGCAGTTCCCGCTACGCCGCGCCTTACGCTACTGCACGATGAGCTACTAGCACCACTACGCTTACAAGGTCAGTCAGGCCTATATACACAGTTTCCCACGTGGTTGTAAAAATAGACTCTCCATGCTAAAGTTACATATATAAGGTCTTAAGGCCTCATGTTAAGATTTTCTTTAACCGTTATTATTCAGAGGAGTACAGAAGCAGAAAAAAGAACAGCTTGTTGCTTTGACGTTTTATGCTCTGCTAACTAAAACCAGCGTAAGACAGCTGTACTTCTCCCTTAGAGAATGTGTTCCTTTTTAACTGCTCTGCGCTTACTTTCCCCAGCGTTCCTCATCTCACTCTGAGGAACAGTGCAAGTAGGGCCTGTCTGTGTAGCACAAGTTTTTAAACACTTCAAAACTGGCTTAGCTAGTGTGATTTTGAAACTGCTACAAGTTGGATTTTAGGAAAGTGAAGCCCCGGACCTGGCTAGGTGAGCCAATTCGGAAGTCAGGTACGAAATTTCTCAAGTGTGAGCAACCACCCACATATCTGTGTTCTGAACTTACTTTTACTGCTCGTTTTGGTCGCTTGGCTGAGATAACATAGTAATGATGTTGACTCTTACAGTGCTTTTCTAAAAAACTTGTGGAAACTTGTGGAATGACAAGATGCCCCATGCTGGGTGTACCAGCTACCCTTTCCAAAACTCTCATTTACATCAGCATCCGTACTCGAGGGACCAGAAAAGCTTTTCGTAAGCTGACTTGGAAGGTATTCTGGTCAAAGATGTTTTTTTAGTGTAGATGACAGGCAGTGTTACTTCATTTCCTGTTTCTGGTGAAATCACACTTAGCACTTTGCTGTGTTGCAACTCTGTCTGCACAATCAGATTCGCCGTTTTCATTTTTCCCTGCTCTGTCAGCCAAACAGCAGCATGCGCACCCAGGACCATTACCCCACCGTGCCGTCACGGGGAGACAAGCTGCACGCGTGCACTGGATTCACATCTGTCGTCAGGAATTCTGATCACGGCCCAATCCCGTACTGCTGGTAGGTGTCTGATGGTTTGGAAGCCACGCAGGTAGCGGGGCATCAGCTCAGCAGTCCGATGGGTAATCCATTCCGGGAAAAAAAACTGGCTTCAGGGGAGACCAGAATGCTCAAGCTCTTTAAAAAAAGAGGTAAAGAACCTCACACTGGTTGATTACAGTGCCCCATCAGTCTGCTAATGGTTATAGACACTCAGATAACTGAAGAAATGGGTGATCTTCAGGCTTGGAGAAAGAGAAGCAGGACATAGCGTGACTTCCAGGTCACAGACTCAGTGATGAAAGAGGCTTAGCCTTCAACAGTGCCGGAGGGCGAGAAAGATACGGGATGACCGAGCCACCAAATGGCCCTGCCCATGCAATGGCACATGGGACATGGAGCTCCATCACCTACACCGTAGCAAGAGTCAAAGATGTATTAACAGCACTGGAAAGACCTTATCCAGCCCACTGTGCAGAAAGGCGACCAACAGCAGCTTTTCCATCTTGGCCAACCAAGGCCAACCAGAGGCTGTTGGTGGATGTAATCACCGTTCACAGAAATGCTTTTCAGTAGGAGTGGAAAGGGGCCAGAGGAGAGCAGGAGCTTGCCAAGTTTTACACTGGAGTTTGGTACGTTTGCTTACAACAGCTAAGTATGGGATTTGAGGACAGAGCAAGTCCTAAGAGCTAACCTGTTATCCCACAGGATTACCGAGTCTCGTCACTGTTTCACATTATACCCTGTCCTATTCGTTAAGCAGTGAAATGGCTGCAAACTTGGTCAGAACTTATAGTGCGTGCCGGCCGGGAACAGTGTGTGTGCCTGTTCTGAGTTCTGCTGCTGAAAACAGCTGTCGGTGGGTGCTGACCACTCCATTCATTTAAAACCAGCAACAAGAGTTCAGGGAAGAGGACTCAGTACACTAGCTGCTGACAACACTTCTTCCTGATTTTAATTCAGGCTATAACCCAAAGGGCCATTTGTTCATTAGCACAATCAGAATTATCTCATGGGTACATCAGCTTAGCAGGTTCAACAGCTCATATATCAGGAGCAAAACTCTTAAGTCATTTGGAAATAGCTCTCTGCAGAGTCAAGTCACAGTTCAAACCAGGTAACTAGCACGTAGAGTCTTCATTTCACAACTCAGGCAGAGAGAGGCTGCAGAAAATGAACCACCTCTATAAAACTACTTATTTAAATATAACAAAATCATAGTTAAATTATCAATCAAGCACAACCATTTCTGGTATGCTGCCTGAGGCTGTTCACCGAAAGCCAGTAATAGGGATAACTGAAGTTCTTATGCCAACAAATTCCGAATCAGCAGGTGAATTTTTACTCATTAAACACTGGAATCATTGTGCAGCAGTATTATCTGGATACAATATTTTCCAGTCACCATCAGTTAGTCGGATTAATTTTATTTCAAATTATACAAGATTCCTCTCCCACACGCTGAAATACATCACCCTCATCCTGCAGGTCCTGTGCTCATATGGACAATTACTCGTACTGAGAAGAACCGCTGACCAACAGGCATCCTCAGCGCAGCTGGCAATAACTAGGTCATTTATTAAAAACAAAAATAAACCCAAAATGAAAGCATAACTCCCAATGAGTCAAAATGACTGAGCGACCTTACTGACAAGCACTCTGGTTTAGGCCAGATGAGGCATTACGCAGCAGCTTACGTTGCTACTGCCAGTGTAACTTGACTACAGCGGCAATATTGTCAATCTTCAAGGTTATTAATCTGGCGGCTTTCCAACACACTACGCTTTAGAAGCAGGAATCCATAGAATGTAAGCAAACAACTCTCTTTGACCTTCCCCAGCTTTGGAGGCTCACACAGCCCTAGTGCATTCAGGTATGGGCAACAACAAGGTCTCGAAGTTACCGGCCTGATGCGAAATTCTCTGCAGAAGAATTTTGCAAAAAACCCAAGTCCTGCAATGTTCTCACTCCAGACCATCAAAGAGAAAGCCAGTGTTTATTTAACTTAAACGTAGCGCTCATAACTAGACTTCCAGTCACCACATATCTCTGAATGCGTTGACTGCTAAAGTTACGCTCCACACGGAACTGCACCATCACACGCTACAAATGACTTACACCAAAGCAAAAGCGAAGCCGAAAGCACACACTACACTGAAAACACAGTGGAGTCAGGAGAGCCATTTGTCTGCCAGACAAGAAGCTACGAACGTTGCACAAAGAGCCAGCGTGTTGTACCCAGTTCAGTCTGCCAAACCTCGCTGCTCCTTGGTAAGGCAAAATGGAAAGGGAAGAGTGAACACCAGCAAACGTAAAACACGCACAGAAACCTAACAGGACTATTCAAGATTACATGCTAGTTTGTATCCAAACAAAATACCAGAAAAGGCACATGATAAACAGTCCGGTTACTAAAGACAAGATACTAATATGGGAGGGACAAACGGCTCCCAGGCGACAGAGTAACACAGCGGCTATGGGGTCAGCATAATGTCCTAATGCGGGTGAACTCCTTGCAGGTCCTGCTCGAACTCCAGTGACATCAACCGAAGAAATAGTGATTTCAAGTGATGATGGCTCAGGCCCTAATTTCATGAGCTATACGTTGCCGACTATCTTTAATCCAGTTAACTATGCTCAAATTAAATCTCTGCAAAAAATATTCTGCAGTGCTGGCGGATATTTAAGTCTTCACGAAAGTGCAGAATCTTTCCCGAAAGCAATTATAAGTGACTGGCTCCCTCCGGGTGGTCTGTCTGCATCCACTTGCACTCACTCATTTTTGTCTTTTTCCAAAATACTTACCAGAACCTGTCGACTGTGAAGGAAAATCATTTGAACTCCAAGGCCAGTATTCGGTCATAATCCAACACACAGCGTAATCATAAAATATAGTGCTTCTAAAAATCTTACATACTTTACAGTTGCTGACATCTCTAAACATTTCTTAATCTTACATATATTTGACTTTATCGAGAGACTTAAAAGTTAAAAAAATATATTAAAAAGCTGCAAGTGTTGGGTCCACTTATTAAAGGAACTAGATGGAAGAGGTAGAAGGTTCAGAAACACCGTAGATGTTCCCATCACAATAATATTTAATTCATCCTACGGCTGTTGGGCAAGGGCAACCGCACCACACAGGATCGGGTGGTTTACTCTGCAATTAGCAACTACCTGAAGCTAAGAATTAGTCAATTTTGGAAAGCTGGAGAACTATAAACTGATTTCATATGGTCCACTTCCTTACCGACTGCAAATTTCCAATCAAAAGACATTTGTTTTACAACAACCTTTAGAAGTCTCAGGTGTTAGAAACCTAACCATCCACTTATACACAGGATTAACACCTCCGTGGTAAAGGGTTCATTTGTCGTCTGTCCCCCTGTTCTAATTTTTTTTGTTCTCTCTTCAAGGCCCCAAAAAGTGTCAAGGGGGCTCCAGGGGCAGCAAGCACAGCATTTAAGCAGATGGTAAAGGCGATTTCAGTAACAAAAACTAAAAGACAGCAATGAAACTGGCCACTTGCCCAGCCCTGTTATTACTTAGTGCAGTGAAATCGTTATGCTTCCCATTAGCTACACATTGCCATCTAAAGCAGTGTCTGCAATGCTCTATCAAAAATACACAGCAACTCTCACCAGGACTTCACATCACCACATCCTGAATTGACTACTTAGTATTCCCAAATGTCCGATAAGCTTGGACTGCACGTCACTTTGAGACCGTCTCTGTCATCTGCTGAATCCCTGTTGATTGCACCTGTGAGAGGATACACTGGCCGTCTCACGGAACAACGCATTTTGGCTGGTTCCTCTTGCAATGATTTAGGACAATGTGCTGCTGTACTGGTTTCTGCAGTCTACCATACAACTGAGATTGTCAAGACAGTGTAAGATACTGAAAAGATAGTATAGATTTTGGTCAAACACCAGTTTCTGAGAGACAGGGTTTTACAGTACTGCACTTTCTGTATTTCCAAAGTCGTCTGCTCGTAATATTAGAAAATGTGAAGTGTGATGATGTTAGTCATGACTGTTTCTTTAGGCATTTGGCAAAATACACTTATGTATAACAGCTATTTTTGACATTATCAAATGTTTACATATATACAATCTGTATACTGAGATTATAAACATGTAAGGTTTAAAAAAAGATATAATCCTTGTTTGTTTGACATTTGTTTCAAATAGTTGCCTTCCAAAGCTTGAAATCCTGTCACAAAAAAATCCTATATTTCTTACTCCTGCATGCTAATTTCTACTACAGTATGTTGTTTATCCCTTACATGTGGAAAGTAAAGAACACAAGGTTCATGCATACGGTGTACAAGTTTACATCGGCTGGGATCTCCAGGAGGCACATTCCCAGTTCCACTCTGGTCTGACTCGGGGCTGTGTTAAACCAGAGAACAACCTGTCTTACGCGGGACTGGCCAACAGACTGCAGCTGGGATTCTAGGTAAGTCATCATGCGGAACAGCCTTGTCACATCCGGGCTAAGGATCCCCTGTTAATTGTTGTTATTTTGGTTGTTCATCAAATCCATAAAATATTGGTCAACAAAAAAGAAAGAAAGAAAAGACTGGTTTTTCCCCTTGCAGGAGGAGGTTCTCACTGTGATCACAGGCATCTCTGTTGATCTTTCAAATTGTCTGAAGAGCAGATGAATGTGCAATGACTCAGTGATGCTGAGTTTCTAAAAAATTCGAAGTAAACAGATCAGATGTCACCCCAGGAAAACAGTGCAGCTAAATGGACGTCTCCCATAGCTGGAGAGGGGGAAAAGGAACACAAAACACACATTGAACACCAAGGTAAGACAGGCTGTTACCCAGTGGGAGGAGGTTGTCTGGGGAACTGCATCTACATCACTTGGGTCACCAAGGCTACGCTCTTGGTCTCCTCAGAACACAAAGCCTTGAGCATTTCAGCACAACTTGCAGTCGCCACAGTAAATATCCACAGCTGGAGCGCAGAGAGTTTGAAGGAAAACCATCAGTGTAGCATCAAATTTGTACTAGACAGCGTTCACCTTAGGGTTACGCTAACTAATAATTTGCCACTCTCTTCTGCCTAACTCTGCTCAGAGCAGCAGGAGTCTCCACTGTGAGTTTGAGGCAGTGCCACAGCAGCCCCAGGGCTGAGACACCCCAGTGCAGCCCCGGCCCCAAGCTGCGCGGGGAGACCCTGCGTGCATCTCACACAACGTTCTGCCCGAGCAGGACTGGGGGTAGCAGCTTGCAGGTCCCTCCTGCAGCACTCCACTCCTTTTCTCAGGGAGCAGTGATGGGAATCTCATCTCCATCAGGAACACGCACTAAAGCCATTGCAAGTAAAGCTCCTAAAGCAAATTTCAGGGATTTTTTGCTTATTCAAATATCTGCAATGTCTGAACTGACACAAAGGAAGCAACAGCCAGTGTTGCCTCTTGGCAGCCACTGAAAATCTCTCTGCGGAGCAGCATCAGCATCCATGGCATGTTCCAGTGATTCCTGCCCAGCTCCCCAGGGTGGGCTCAGGGCATGCAGCAGCAAAGTCCCTCCAGGTCTGCAAGACCTTGATGCAAGAGCTCCACACCCTCCTTAACTGGAGCTTAGTTACCTTTCCATAAAGCTGGAAAGCAGCCGTACCTCAGCCCCAGTGAGTCGCTGGCAGTGCCAGACCCCTGGAAGGGGTACGGGAGGAGAGCCAGACACACAGCCCGCCCCAGGGCTGCCTGTCCCCCGCAGCACAAAGGCTGCCCTGGGCACGCCCTCAGCTTGACATAAGAAAACTAGTGAAATCTGGGCTTTAGGGCAGGTTTAAGAGCAACCTGAACGTTTATCTGTAAACACAGCCACCAAGGCTGCCCTGACTGCTGCCAGAGCTTCAGCAGCTTCTGGAGATAAGGATGCCAAGGAAATGCCACTGCTGCTCTCAATGTTCATCAGAGGTGCTGATCTGCCATGCCCTCCTTCTAAAAACCTACCAGTAAATCAATCACTGACAAAATGCACAGAGAAGAGGGACACGTACCCTGGCACTTTGCCTGTTGGCTTTTTTCTCCTCATCAGGAAGTGGTGGCATCGGGTAAGGGTATTTTCTGCTGGAAGCAATAGATCCAGTGGATGAAGATGGAGACTTTGCAGGAGACAGTGTCCTGAGATGTTGAAACACACAAAATAAATGTGATGTCTTCAGGTCCCAGCACTGCAACAGCAACTGCCATTACTCTGAAGCTTGGTTCAGAACCAAGTATATAGTTTATTATTAGCTCAGTATCAGGGAGATAAAGATGTTTGTTCAGTAATCTAGTAATTTCATTATATGAATAAAGGTATTTACAGCTTTCAGGAACACTGGAAGAAAAAAATAAAATTTCCTACTTTCTATTAGAATTGTATTGCTTAACAAAAAGGATTTCTTAAACTGCTTTATATGGTATGATAATTAATCATTATAAAATTAACAAATCTGCAGTTGAATAAAAACATCTAAAATATAGACGTGGCATTATGAAGCCTAAATAGAAACAGTGATTGAGTAAATACACGCTGAACAAGGTCTTCTGCCAGTGACTGAATGGCAGTTATCGGTGTCTTTATGCGTTTCTTAGACATCTCCTATATTGATACAAACATAGCAAATAAATCTATTATTTTATAAACACATTTACACAAATGCATGCAACTTGGAGGCCAAACTGTTAGTTGTGAAGTAACAAATGCATATACAAAGTGCTAATAACAAATTATTAGACATGCAAGCATCATACAGTGCATATTGTTCCAGCCAAAGAAAGAGTCTGATGAGAATATACAAAAATGGACTGATTAGTCAATGGCAATCAGCATTTCTGTACAAGGTGAGTAGAGTAAGCAGGAGCAAGTAAATGTTTGTATCACATGAAAGGCATTCTTTTCATGTCAATAAGGCAGCAGCACATTATTGACTGAAATTTTATACCCAAGAGAAACTCTTATGCCTCTGTTTTGAGATTCTGCACTTTTCCCACTTGAGAGGTTCCTATCAGGCTCTAGATCTGGGCAGAATAAAAGTGAAGAAAAGACTCAAAGTAGAAAAATTGAGCTACCCTGTCCTTGTTCTGTTCTGCAGACTGAGGGCATTTTTCAAAGAAGGCCTCCCACTAGTCAGGCATATCACCCTCCCTAAGCACTGCTGCCTACTGTCTTACGAACTTTATGTGTCCCTCAAGTTGGAATTTTTCCCTCGGTTTCTAGAGACAGGTCTTCCAAGCCCCTCAAACGCGGCACAGGGAGGTGTGTTGTGCAGCTGTAGACCCCAGTGAGAAGGACCATTGTCAAGATCACTGATAGCAAGGAGCTACCCCCGGCAGACAGTCCCACATCCCTGGCTCTGGGACTTGTAGGATCAGGTCCTTTCATCTGAAGAGGATTACAGACAAGGCAGGGACTCTTTTGGGTCTGGAATTGTTTTGTAGCTCCACTACCAAGTGAAATTAATTTACCTTTAAATAATTACTAGTTTATTTTGGACTAGTGTATGCTTTTGTTGTGTCTGAGGCTCCCTACAACAGCACACTCCTGTCTCCCATAAAAACAATGACTCACGGTAGCTGCGAGCAACAAGGTGTCAATGGAAATTGTATGGTGAGAGCTCCCCAATCCAGCTCACAGTGCTCTAACACCTCATACTGTAGCCTCTAAGTTCAAGAACCTTTTAAAAGCTTTAGGTTGGTACAACTGTCCAAATACTAACAGTACGTCTTCAGCACATGCACTTTGATCACTCATTAAGATGAACTGGACATACATGAACGCCTTCAATAAGAAAACTTTAAACAGCTACTGCAGTATAAAACCAGGCGTTCGTATGTCCAGCACCACAGATCTGGGCACCAAACTGCACATGCAACCAAACAGGTTATTTAAAAAAAATATATATATCCAGAGAAAGGTTCTCAGCAGTGCCCCCCTGCTGTTCACTACCCATATAAGTCCTCTCATCTCTGCCCACACTTGGACAGATAAAGATCACCAGTAAACTATTAGTGGATCTAGAATCAAAAAAATAAAGACAGAAGAAAGGGGGGAACAGAAGGAGAGCAGATTTTACATATCATTAGTAATCCAATTATTGACAAATTTTGCCCCACTGCTGCAGGAGGATTTCAAATCTTCATGGTTAAATTTAAAATGATGCAAGTGGGGATTAGAAGCAAGGAACTGGGGGGTGTTGGATCTGACCTGGCAATCCCTATCGGAAAGCTGTTTATACAGGTACCACAGCCAAGAGGTGGCACACAGGATGAAGGCATCTCCCATCCCTTGCACCCCAACCAGGGAACACGTCATGTCCTGCACGCCACGGGCTCTTCCCTTGGGTTATTTTAGGCACCACAAGAGAAGGCCACGGCGAGAGGGAAAGCCGTGGTCAATATACCTGTCCATCAGCATGAATAGGTGATCCTGGAAGGAGCAATAAACCCCACCAAAAGGATGAGGCATCTTGAGCATTTTCCCTGCACAGCAGGTCCTCAGCAGGATCCCCAGCTGAGCCTGTAGCCAGGTGGCTTTGCACCCTTACTCAAACACGATGCTGCCTTTCCAAAAGATTTCGAAGCCCAGACCTCCAGCGTAGCTGCCTACATCTCTTTCTTCTCAAAACCCCTCCGTGTTGCCCGCTCACTTAGGGTTTGCATGCCTAACCGACCGGTGTGCGCACCGCTGCTCACCTGCACGTGCAAAGTTACAGCCAAGTACACGGAGAATGCAGTTGCACACTTACAGAAATGACCTTGCCCTCCCCTCACAGGCCCTCACCACTTATTTCTGCTACAGAGATATGTGCTCGTTTTTGTCACTGTTGGTGACACCTGTGGAGACTGTGAGAATGTATCACGACTCAGCCTCTGCTCACAGATCTTACAATGCACATTGTGTGACAAGCACAGTTGTTGGAGGTGACTTTGATCACCTTCCAGGTTCTGCCCTGCAATTGTCTATGTGCTGTGTATCAGCAGATTTACGTATACTTTAAATGAGAAAAAGCCAGGAGTGACCTTTCTCATTTAGAGGATGGAAGAAAGACAGCATTCAGGGACACTTGCGGGTAATGCTGGGGTTAAAGGTAGGCAAAACTTGGCAGTTTTGGTCAAGGGTGGGGTCCATTTAGCTTTCATTGGGGTTTTAGTTCTCCTGCTATCAAATCCATTAGCTTTCATGCCAAATGTTGCTTCCAGCAGAAATTCATACAAGGAACTAGGACCACATTTTGCCCTGTACATGTCACGACAGAGATTCAGAGGTTTTTAACTGCCAACCCCAAACGAAGCCATGCACCTCACCGCGCTGCAAGAGTTCTCATTTCCAACCAGAAAGCAACATACAGTGGCCATTTTGCATCTCTGTTTCTGTCCTGGAAGCTGAAACTAAGAGTGTGGGGAGACCACGCTGGGACTGACAACAAAACACTGGCAGCGGGATGTCATCAGCGTGTGCCCTCCTGCAGCAGGCACCTGCTGCTCTGCCTTCTTGTCACCCGAACGGCCAGGGTGTTGGCCCACAAGAGACGGTGTGAAACGCGTCCCCAGGTCACACGACTAAACATCGTGCGACTTTGAGCGCTGTTTTAGCCGAACTCAGGGCAGGTGGCCCTGACAGATCTGAACTGTTCACAAGCAGTGCTTGATTCTGTTTCATGGACTGAAATTAATGCAATTCAGTTAACATTCAACCTGGTGAAAGCATTTCAAGCCTAACTGTAGATACTATCAGCCTAGCCTGACCTTTGCTGCTGTAGGTTCAGTAGGACATCATCAGCCTAAATTATCCCACCTTAAGAAGCTAGGACCTTCTAAAAACACTGATGTGGCTAAATATTTTAACACTTCAAATGCAGTTCCTTTTAAAAACCACAGATGTGCCTAAATTTTCTCAGAAAGTACAGCAGCAGAAGTTTGGCTTGGCTGGTGGGGGGCTGCAGAAAAGGCAAAGGCTGTGGCTTGAGCACTACTTTAAGCACTGCACAGAGATGCCCCAGAAGCAGGCACTCACACGCTTTAATGAACTCTTTTCCCTAACTCTTGAAATGAAATCCTGATCCTATGGATGCCAATAGGCATTTTTTCACTGGCTGCCAAAAAGGACAATATTTTGCTGTGTTTGTAATGGAGAAAGCTTTTTCTTTTTTTTGTTTTCTCCTTTAAGCACAGTCAAAAGCTGCCTGAGCAAGAGCAGGGAACTAATGGCTGGTCACAGCTCTGGCCTCAGCTGGATGCTCACAGAGGAAGGCAATGGACCTCGCAGAGCAGCAGAGCCATCTCTGGCTAACAATCAGCTGAGGAGGAGCTGAGAAGGAATCAAGGAACAACGCCAAGAACAACAAAGCACAAAAAAAATAGGAGGGGAATGGATAGCCTGTTGTCTCCTGCCCTCCATGCTCCTTGCCAATGCATTTCTGATATGGGAGGGCCGTTTTCCCTCTGGGTATGAATCCCGGGTACCCATCTAAACAACCTGTTTTCTTTGTAAACTATTTCTATACTTAAACAACTCCCACAGAATCTAAGTTACTGTCAGTATTTGCATTAAATCAAATGTAGGCAGCTCAGTGCTTCAGAAGGTGCCTTCTTGTCTTTTTTGTCTCTAATTATCTACAGAAATGCCGTAATTCGGGATTCTGAGGGTTTATTTTCTGATACCATCATGGTTCCTGAGTCTTTCAATATTCAGTGATGATTTTGAGTAATCCTTAATTATATAAATAAGGTCAGTCTGCGCAGTAGCCACTGTAATTGGCAGTAACAAAAACAAGCAGAGGTATCACCCTGGAAAAACAACACCCCTTGCAGCAAAGCTGAAATCAGGGAAAGGTTTCCTGCCTGGGTTTATTGCTGGGGTTGCACAACTATAACCTGGCACATACAATTAAAATCTAGCCTAGTCTTTGAGCAGGAAAATGAGATTTTTCTTTACAGATCTTATTTTCTTACAGATGGGAATCCCACAGCTGGGAGCTTTCTGGTGCCAGAGACTATTCTTCTACTATTATCATTAATAAAAAGTAATTATATGGAAATACCCATTAGACTTGTAGACTAGAAAAAAAGAATTAATAACTAGGACACCAGGTATCAGAGTGACAAATCTTGGTTTATACAGGGTGGTTTTTTTAAGCTGATGAAGAAAGTCTTTGTGATGACTAATATCTCTATTTTCTGAAAAATCTGCAACATTCCTAGGAATTGTAGGAAGTGTTTTTGTCTTTTTTTCCTGATTCTACTTCAGCTGTACCTGCAACAGGACCAGTCATCAACATATTCCTAAAACTACAGGGAGACAAGCAAAACAGCAGTGCTACTTTCAGGGTGTCTTTAAAAGACAAGAGAAATCAAGGATGATAAGCAACAAAAATACTACTCAGCTAATTATCTGGTGTAAGTATCTTAGCCTGGGCTATGACTCCTAAAACGTAGTATCAGCTGGACAGGCTGCCTTCATCCTGTCTTTCTGGTTTATCAAACAAAATTTGTTTTGTTTTGTTTGTGAATCATTTCACAGGCTCAAAACCCATCCTTACGATCTTCAGGCACACTGTTCTTAGGAATGTTTTCCTTTCTGTGACAGATTAACCAAAACTGCATCTGAGTTTTGAGGCAAAACTGTTCAGTTCAATCTCTAGTAAGCCCATGGTAACTCATCCTGGGAGAAGAATTGATCCTTTGCCTTCCATAAAATGCCTGTGGAACATTTCCCCGTGGTTCCTTCAATTAATTAGGACATACAGGTTTCTAAATTTATTCTAGTTTCTCCCTCATTTCTAAAGCTACTGCTGCAGGCAGTCATTAGTAAGCTTCTATGGTGTAAAATTTTTAATTTATGTTTCAACTCTGCAGATATACAGCCCTTAAAACTCACATGGGTCAGCTTAATCCTCACTGACATGCAAAAAATGCTTGGGTTATCTCAAATACAATTAGAAACGTGATTCGTTCAGTGCAACAGTTGAAAACCCTCAGGGGCGGGGGATGCTCCCATCAATTTAATCTAGTTAATAAATCAAGATATACTGATATTAAAAGACAAAAAAAACCCAAATTAAGAGTATCCACACAGGACTTTAAACCTCTTTAACTAAACCATTTAAAGTAACATATTTTAAATTAGTGCTATTGTCATGTTCCATCAATGTCTTTGTCTATTGCAACTAGAGGGCTTTGAATAAAAACACCCTGAAAGACAGCTATGGGTTTAGATTATGGTGAGTGACTGATGGCCTTGCCTGAACAGCAAAGGTCCATAGGGTATTTTTAGGAAAAGGTTTGCTAATAAAGCCACAGCTCATTTCTAATATGAGTTTGCCTCATTTCACCTTCCAGTGGCTTTTGGTCATTATCAGTCTTGGGCTGGTAATCTAAAAGACTGCCCACAATGACTTTGCTCCATTTGCAGCTATGCGGGTTTTATGATCAGGTAAGCATTTGGCTGCTCCATTAAACTGATCAGCTTGAGGCCCTGCAGTCACTTCTACGGTTTCTCAAGGCTTAAACCTCCCCGGGTCTGGAACATGCTTGTTGAACTGCAGACACCAGAACTGAAGCCTGTACCCTAATGCTAAAATCAGCAACAGTAGAACTACCAGACTCACGACACACCCTACCTGCACGTCCAAGCACCAGCATAGACCTGGCTGATAGCAGCTGGCACGATTACAACAACCTCCTGTAAGCTTTGGGTTCTTGTGTCAGGATTTTTTACTCCTTTTTCAGGAGAAAGATCAGGACTGACAGGCTTAGATTCACCTCATTTGTCCTAGTGGTTCATTGGAAAGCCTTTATGCAACTTACTCTGTGATTTAAGAGTTCTCGAAACCAAACACAACAGTTTTAAGGAGTGACAATTTTATGCTCTTTTAAAACTATGGGACATTTTTAGTTCTAAAAGTGACTAAATTCCCACTCTGCTATTTAATATCTGCCAACGTTACTATTGGAATTGAAGTGTTTCATTAGCATCTGACCCAAATCCATCACGATTTTTCCCACATGCACACTGAACATATTAACTGAATGTTTCTGCCCTTTTGCACTGTCGTTAGGTCTACTAGTATAGCAAAATTATTGTTAAGATTCTATTTACTCATTCTTACCATCCTTCACTGTTTTGGTTAAAGGTTCTGCTTTATATTCTTCTTCTTTGTGTTTTATGATTCTTGTTTCAGCTTCATTTTTGATAGGCCAACTCAACAGCTTCATCCATTTCTTTCATGTTTTATATTATTCGTCATAAATTGTCTCCCATGCTAGCTGATTTTTTTGAGCTGAAGCAAACTTCTGTCTCAGCTGTGGGATTTTTGGGAGTCTACTGATTTTTGGGACTCCTTTTGGGAGTCTACTGAAATGTTCTCCATCTCCTGACTCATGCGCAACAGGGAGGCCAGCCTCATGCAAGCTTCTTCTCTTTCACTTAGAATGTATCAAATAATACACACTTTCCTCTTTCAAAAACAAGGGATATTTTTGGTTGAACCCTACACTCACTTGTAACAGATTCATTAGTGATCTGATAAATAGAGCACAGAGTATATTCTCATAATTTTAATTTTCCAATTACAATATGTAAATTATGTCATTACAGGCTGAGAGTAAAATACCACTACTTTTTATTCTTTTTTTTTCATTTAGATTTTAGTATGCACTATATAAGACAGTGGGTAGAGTCAATGTGTTATGAAACCACTTGCTTCAGTAAATTACATTCTATTTAAGTTAATACTACTTCATTAGTGATAAGTATGTCTCATGCCCATAAAACACTACTTGGCATAAAATGATGAGAAAGCTACTACAAGCTATAGATGACGGTGGGAACGCATGCACTACACACACCCTTTTCAATGGCTTCATTAAAACATTCAGGAAAAGAATTGTAAATTGCACATGAAGCCAAAAACAGACATCAAAATGCAGCAAAAGAAGAGGGGCCCTTTGCACCTACAGTAACTTGTATTGATTTATACAAGCTAGGAGTCCCAAGATATTTGTATATGCTGGAACAGCTCTTAAAAATTATATAGAATTAATTTACAAAATACCTAAAGTATGGTCCTTCAGTGTTTTTATTCACATCTTCTACCCACTTAGCTACATTATATTCTCTTTTGAACCATGGGTTTAAATACCTGCAGAAAGCAATGGAAGGAACAGAGAAAGCAGAAGAACAAGAATAGAAAATCTGAGAACACACAGCACAAGCTTAGCAAGGATGTTTTCATCCCCAAAATGCAAGTGAATATGGCAAATAAATCAGTATGGATGTTGGGTGAGGACTAGGCAATGTGTACAACTGCATGAGAAAATCTGACCTACAACAAGACTAGTAGGTTTGATTAATCTGGAAAACCATTGGGATACATCATTCATTTAATGTCTTAAGGGTAAAATTCACCCCTAAGCAGAGGGCCAGCGTTAACCTCATGGTGTGAACTCCTCTCATGATCTCAGAATAATGATGAAGGGGCATTTTGGTTCCAATCCTGCAGTTTGCTTGTTGAAGACACATATTTGCAATAGAATAATTTGCAATAGAATAAATTGCAAGATAGTAGCTAAGTGAGCACAGAAACCTGGGCTTGGCCCTTTCCACAGGAATGAATTTCAGCCTCAGTCCATTAAAAGGCTCGAATTGTTTGCCATTACAATGGCAACTTTTACACCCTCTGATTTTTCAATGATCATTTAAATTTGGTAGGACAGCAAGAAGCTGTAACGGAGGTGGGCTGCAGAGTTATCTCACATTTTTCAAAAGCAATCTTGATACCAAAACCACACTTTTAAGGAAAATAATCCGAGTTGCATACTCAGTTACATGAAAACTATAAAATAAAGACGGTGTTTAATTATCTGACAATAATATTACCAGGGAAGACAAACCTTTTTTTGTACCTGGTTTCTCTTAGCCCCAAATGACAAGATTAGCAAATTCCTCCCCCTCTGTCACATTAAGAAAAAAGGGCAATGGAGAAACAGGAGTCTGCCTGATCCAAATGAAAGTCTGATTTTGTTGTATAAGAATGGCAACAGTTTAACGATTATTTGTGATCAGCAACTTTATATAATAGAGACTAGCACACTCTGAAATAGGAAACAAATTCTAACCAAGGAAAAAGGGAAAGAAAATTCCTCGTTATTTTTTATATTTCTGGGCCAGTTCTTGCCATCCTTATTTATGAGCGTGAATCCAATGACCTCACACATGGGAACAGGCCTTGCAAGGGATTGCTCATATGAGTAAAGGTTGGGCCAGATCATGTCATTCAACCCCCACCATATTTCAAACCACACTGACGACAAAAGCGGCAGCATATTTTTGACTTTTTTTGCTCCTTTTTTGCTCTGGAACTTCTCCTCCCCACCCCGCGCAAGCACAGCCACAGCTCTCAGAAAGTACTCGCCCTCAGCCACAAGTGCTTCTAAGTAGCTTCCTCAGCTCGCTCATTTATCAGGAATCAGGAGTGCTTTATGCTTTCCAGCTTGGGCTCTTAGAGAAAGAAAACATCAAGAGCGGTAGCGCAGCAACAGATGAACGTTAAGTGATGCAACAGGTTGACACCAGCATCACCAGGAACTAACAAGCTTCTGCCGTTAGCTTTAATTGTAGGTGTGACTACACATTTTCTTGTACTTGCTGCAGTACTTTTGACTCGCTTTAATTTGAAAGGGTCTTTTGGTAACCATGAAACACTCCCAATCTGGCTTCCTGTATTAGAAACAAAGTGTAGGGTCGTATCAAAGCATGCAGCTGTTGCACAACCGCGTTGCAGGGTTTCCTGTCTGGTTGTATTACAGGCTGTCGTTCACCACCTCAATTCATCTGTTATAGAAAGGTTAAACTCCAGTTACTGCAGACCACTACCTGATACCATTAGAAAGCTCTTAGGTTGATCTTCCTGGCCACATTTCATTAGCAACAGCCAGAATCCATGTTGTCTTTGAGTGAGAAATCCCATTTTAAATCACAGGTGTCCGTACACGTAAGCCTATAGCTAGACCGATGGCTTGATTTGGCTTGTAGCGCAACATGCAACAAGGCAAAAGACCTGGGCTCAAGAGGACTCGTACTCCTCAGTCTGGCGAGGAGGAAGGTTAGCTAGCGCTGCATCAGCAGGAGCACCTCCAAGCAGTCACGGTGTTTTGCCACAGTGAAACTATCGTATACTGAGGGAAGGGACTTTTTACGGGATAAAACGGCAGCCCAGAATGCAGGGGCAGGGGAGACTGACCTGTGATCCCGACTCCCTGTTTGGGGGTGGTCAAAACCCCCTGGGCTTATGCCTTGGGCCGGGATTTGGTGGGCGAGAGAAAGCCCAGGCTCAGATGCATGGGTTACCCTGCTGCAAAAAGACAATATATAATAGAAAGTCTAAGCCAAAGGTGTCTGTATCACTTATAACAACGAGGAAGACAAATGCTTATAGGAAAAGCAGTGCAAATTAACAAAGGTCAGAATCGCTATTTGGCAAATCAAATGTTCCCTGGGACCTGCTTTAACACAAGCTCCCAATTAAACTGTCAGCTTATTCAGAAAACTCTCATTATCATTCCTGGCTAACTGATTGATTTTCATAGAAAACTTGTTTTATCAGGCCATTTCATCAACCACGCTTCTGAAAAAGCTGCAGAAACATTTGGCCTGTTGGCATTCCTTGTGTGACGTGAACCATCTGCCTTTAGTAAAGAACACAAATTTTGTTTTAAAAACCTGGAAACAATTAAAAATGTCCCAAAGGAGCTATACCCTTAGCAGAAGCCTTGCTCATATATCTGATAGGTACAAGGGGTCACACAAAGTGGTGAGCAATACATTTCTCAGGAACTACCTGATGCACTTGCAACCTTCCTGTCAGTGCTGCTCGTGAGTGCTGCAGAGCTCAAACCTTGCTCCGTGCTAAAGAAATTTTGCTTAAATGATTAATGGATGGCACGAGTCTTTATCCAGTGTTTGACTATATAAAAAAAAACAAAACACCTTGTGTATAATATGTGCAGTTAATGCAGACTCATGCACATGTCAAATACTTTTGTAGGCAACAGTATTAGTGTGCACCTGCTTAAAAAAAAAAAAAAGAATTCTGCACAAGGTGCAGCACAAATTAACCCAGTTTTCTAGTGGTTAACTACACTGTCTCTGCTACTAATGGGAGACCAACAGTGTTAACCCCCTTCTTCCACCTCAACAAGTATGGTCCATTGGACTCCCAAGGGCCACACAGGTAGACTTTCCAAATGCCATCCACCATTATAGATTTCAATATCCTTCTGTACTTCCCAGAGAAGGTAAGAAGGTAAATATTTCTGGGAAAGGCCTCAATGTATTCTGAGGCATCCTCAAAGCAGCTGGCATTGCTTTTTGTTTTCCTAAATGAGTAAATGCTGGCCACAGTTAGATCATTCTCAGTCCATTTTCTTTGCTCGCAAGGGAAGTTTTCTCTCTAACCAAAGCCACTGGGTGCCCTCAGCAATTCTCCCCATCCCCAACTAAACTGGCAAAGAACATGGATCATTCAGTGGGAACTCTCTCTCCAAGAGGTGATGGGCTCACCAAGGAGACTTGGACAAGCCATGCAGTCCATGATAGACCCCATGAGGAGAAAGAGCATCTGCTAGGCAGATCTCTTCCAGGAACGTACACGTTTTGCGTCTTCCCAAACAGGCTGCTGCACAGCCCTTGGGAAGTACAAGCCTCCTCCCTCTGGCACCAGGGCTGCTGCTGGGTTGAGAGACCCTAACAAGCACGAAGAAGGAAAGCAGAAAAATAGGCAGAAATTCAGGGGCACCTTTAAAGGAGAAAATATTTTACAAGGAAAAAGATTTCCAACTCACACTCTCTCTGTCTACCCACTTATTTGGTGAGCCAAAGTTCTCAGAGCAAATGTATAATATACCAGCTGAGCAGCAAAGAGGGAAAGATACATCCATTGGGTTTTTTGCTTTTACGCAGAACAATACTCTTCCCATGCAGTTATGTTCAGCCTAGGCTAAAAAGAGCTGATTGGTTTTCATTTTTTATGGACCAATTCAGCCTCAGCATACACCTCTGCTGAATGATAGAATAATGGTATCATTAATTTAAACTATTTTTTTAAAAACAAATTTTGTTTAAGATATACAATTGGAAAATTAAAGAAAGCACAGAACAAGTTTCTAAAGAAGAATGAGCGATGTTATTTGTATTCTCAGCAGTTGGTCAGACTAATTTTGTTTTTATCAAACTGTCTCATGCAAAGAGAAAAGAAAACGAGCAAAATAACATTCCAGTAAGAGTTTATCAGCATGAAGATCAAGAGCACAGGGGCACTTGACAGATAAACTCCTCCAAGGGATCTGGGGCTAAAATTTCTGGCTCCGTGTTGCCGTTTTCACCATGCAATGTTATAACTGCAATGTGCATCAAACTATTATTTCTGTAACTTGTAACAGAGAGTCGTCTCTATGAACCTTTCTGATCCTACTCACCTCAAGACAGTGCACTGCAGGTAGAAGAAAAGTTTCAGAACAAACTCAAACTCCCCAAACCGAAGAAAGCAGGGCCCAGAGAGGAGTCAGCATTATTAGTTTCCAGCAGGGTTGGTAGCAAGCCCATTTGCCCATACAGGTGCAGTTAGTACTAACGATACAGGGAAAGGGCACTGTCATCGCCACTATGGTCAGAGAGGGGCTCATTCCCGTGTGGCTTAAGTGCTGTAAGAGCAGGCCAGTGATTGACAAGCCCAGAGATTATGTTTCCAGTCATTCACCATTCATTCATGAAATGAGCCTGAACCAACAAGCTTAAGTACATACGAAAGGCTCTTTTCCTATGGGGAGCACTGCACATGAGCTCTTCAGTAAACGTAACCAATAAATCAATAAGAAAGCAACTCTAAGCCATACTGGAAAGGTCTGGGGATCAGTCACGTGGTAAGGACTCTCATTACCCATTTATTGCAGGACTTTCTCAAGACTGACTGTTTCAGGCTTACAACGTTTAACTTCAGGGTACTCTCAAAGCAGACAGATACCTCTCCTAAAACCTCCTGGCAGGTAGGCAGAGATACAAAGCTCTAACTCTGCAATGGCCCAACCCAAGGTGAAGACAAGGGTAGGAAAGAGGTTATCAGAAATTCAGTATTGAACCAGGATACACTCAGCAATGGCAGTTTACTGTAGACAAAAGCCTGCAGTGATGGTGCAGGCTGCCACCATCATTGGGAATTGCTATGGGAACGACTGTGAGGAAGCCTACATAAAAAAGAAAATTGATAGTTAATTTTTAAGTAATACATAAAAAGAGGTTGAAATACATTAGCCAAACCGTTTACCAGATTATCAGTGAGCAACTGATTGGGCCTCAGAGCAAAAATGCAGCTGTCTACTTCTCAGTACTCTTAACCTCCATCTACAAAACACAAGCATGAAAACTGTACTTTTTGGCTTTGCTGTTTTATGTTCAGACTTACTCAGTTGAATTAGACCGTGGCCTAAATCTTTTGCCTCTGACTTTCTTTCTGTTTCCTCCTATATTACCTGAAAGAAATCAAAGGATAAAGACAGACAGTAAAACAACTTGAAACTCACCTGCATCCTGTGCCAAACTGTTTATTCTTTTTGCGTCCTCAGCAAAAGTGTCAATTCCTCATTATCTTTAATAATTTAAAAGTCACAGGTCAGTCCCTCTTGTTTTACCTGAGACTAGGTAAACTTGAAAGAAGTGATCTTCCTCTATTTTTTGATGTAACTGTGCAGAGCAAAACGTCCTTAATTTCAGCCTTCATTCAAGGAAATCACTACACTTCAAGAAAAACATTAAACGCTGCCTGATGGTCACAGAAGCTGGCAAGAGTGAATAGACTTGTTGTTGTTGTTCATGTTAGCTCACACGGGAGGAGCAAGAGAAATTAAATGTCATTTCTATGTGACAAAGCATTGTGCAAAAAAAGTACTTGTGTATACCATACGGTGCTGCTAAAGCCCAACTCCAGCCTAGCAACAGCACAATTTTAAGGAGTCATGGTGACCTAAGATGAGCTAAACTTCCAGCAGAGCAGCAATGGCTCAGAGGCTGGGTCTAATGTGGCCAGCACAGAGGTTCACACTTACCTTGCCAAGAGTTACTCCTAGGCCTCCCATTTTCACAAATGTCTGAAATATGTTTTGTGTCTGGGATCCTTTCACTCCAGGAATGAGATAATCCATTTGACCTGGAAAGGAGGGCTCAGATGCGGTTATTGTTAAGGGTATTGTCTCACATCAATGTTAGCTCAGCTGTTCAGAGTCCCATTCCCAAGGCTGGTGACATAACACAGCCTAAGGTCTGTCTGCACCAGCAGAGAATCCAGGATTTCTGGTTAAGCCCTGCAGTTACGCTTTGCCAGCTGACCCTACAGCAGTTTGGTGTGCCCATGTTCAAGAGCCAGACTTCAGCCCTGCTTTCTCGCACACCTGCTATGAAAAACTCCAACACCAGCAGCACACACCAGGTTTCCTTTGGATCTGCAGCTCTGCCTCGGTTCTTAGCTGGAGGATACTTTTCCAGCTGTACTCGTCTCAAGGGTTTTTTATCTCACAGTCAAGCACATCCCACCTGCAGGCTGCCCACTCCCTCCCCATGCTGCTGCAGGAAAGCCAGGACTGCTTCCCTCAGCCCACTGCTACCAGTCTCAGGGGCTCAGGAGTCTGGTGAGCACCCCCCCACCCACAGCTGGTAGCTCCAGTGGAAGGGTAACTGCCTCATTTTTCCTAACTTCAAATTTTCATTATATTTTGTCAGCCAGTCACTGCAGTGTAGACTTCCAATGCTAAACTCAAAGCCAAAAATGCTCTTTATATCTAGGTTCTTGGTGCAAACTAACATTTTTCTTTCTTTTTGCATTCTCTCTCAGAGCTAAACGTGTGTGGCCATACCCAACACATGGGGTTTTACAACACGCTCCTCCTGTTGAACTAGAGCTGCTGCTCAGCTGTTTGCTGTGACATTGACAGTTATTTCCAGAAGGGAAGAGGAAGTTGAAAACTGATCAGAATAGATGGCTTATTTATTACAAAGAAATTTTGCCAGAAGGAACTGTTTCTGCAGTTTCTAAGTCTGAATACTCTTGCATTTTTCGGTCTCTGCTTTCCTTGGAGGACAGGCACCTGAGAGATGCTCTTCAGTTTCTAGAAGACCAGGCTAATCACAGCTACACTGAAGTCAGCCCAGGGTTTCATTAATTCAGTCTTAATTACAGCATGAAAGGTCTGAGAACCAACAGATCCACTGACAGATTTTTTAATAATTTTCTCCTCCTAAAGGTCTATTTTCAGGTTCGGCAATGTCTTGCCATATACTGGTTTTGCAGTTTGCTATTTCATAATAGCAAGATATCATAAAGTTATGCTAAACCTTGAACATCCTCTGAATACCAGCTAACACTTCACAGTACTGTCCAGGCAGCTCATGGCCCAGTCACCCCAACATCTCCCAAGAGATGCCATCTGTACCTGCACACACATAAAATCAAAACCACCTTGGAAGGTAGGAAATAGCACTCTGGGCATTCAAATGAAAGGATTATGTCAGCTCCACCGCAGTGCTAATGGAGTATTTGTCAGACTTACTTTTCCAGACTTGACAGTGGCACAACATACCTGAACTGGTGGTGGGGAACACTAGAGCTCTCTAGTACAGACAGACCTTAGAAACCATTAGCTTTTTGGAACAAATAATAAACAGAGAGACATGAAAGAAATGAAGTATGAAAAGAAACACAGATACTGAATGAAAAAAGAAACACATTAGATGACATTCATTTAAAAAGAAACTTTTTTTCTTAACTGGTATTTGAACTGGCTTACACAAGGCTATGAAAACCTGCTTTCCCAATAATTTTATCAGAATTGTATCCAAATGAGAAAAGATTCTCCAACACAAAGTACATCATTTAAGATTAACGCTTGCTCCCTGGAAAAAAAAAAATTATCCACTCACACATCTAAAAAGCTGTATTTAAAAATTAGAAATTTTCCTTAATAAAATACTCATTAGACCAGACTGAATGAAGCTGCATATAGGATCAAGCTGCTATACCCAAATAGCAAACGTCACTGCAAATGTATCCCTTCCATACATTTCTCTTTACTTCCTTTGAAATAACAACAAAGAAAACAGCTTAAACAACTGCACAGATATAAACTGCTCAGCAAGGTAAGAATTGAGAATTGCAGCTTTCTTATGAAGCAGTTCAGGATTGTCTATCCCTCCTACGACACAGTGCTTCTCATAAATTGCTTTAAAGTGCTAGCTGGAGATTTTAATAATTAAAAGATCTCTAACTGAAGGGGGATGTTGAGCATCATGAACGAATGACCTTAACAATTACAAATGACTCTCGATGCTTTTCAGTGAATTTTCCATTTCAAAGTGTTGTTGGGTTTTTTAAAAATAACTGGAATAATAACAGAATTAATTAAATCTGATCAAGGACAAAATCTAATGTCCTCCTTGGTTCCTCATAATAACAAGCACAAAACTACAGAAAGTCTTTGTAGAATTATTTCCTAAGATAAACGGTGATGTTTTAGTATACCAGTCTAGTAAGTGGAATAACATGCAAGCACCATCATCTTTAATGTGAGACAGCAAGAATATTATCCAGAAGGCTAGGTCAACTAAGTAAATTAATGACATTGACAAATAAAGATATAAAAATCACATTTATATTGAACATTTTATGTTTATAGCCATTATTGAAGCAAGACAGTGTTCCTTTTCTTTGATTACATGACCATGATTTTAAAAGTTGTGGGGGTTTTATTTCATATTTTTGGAGCCAGCAATTATTACAGTCTGCTTGAAAACAATTCTCAAGCAGGGAGATGATGAAAATTTGATTAACCAAAAATAGGTTTACAATGGAAAACTTTATTCTGGCCTAACTGTAGTAATTAGCAGCTCAGGACATGTGAGAAAAATCAGTAATCAAAGCACAAAGGATGGTATTTCAAACATTTCACAAATAAAGAAGAAAGAATCAAACCTGCTGCAAAACAATGAAATGTTCTGACTAATGGAATAATGGGTGATGGAACATGTAGAAATCTGAAAATGCGACAGAAAAGCAGACCTCTTCTTAGAACTAGATGCTGAGTTTGTGCTGACTCCAGGAGGCATGTCGCTATAAAAAGAGTCGGCCTCTCCAGGCTTTTTAACATAATCTCCCTGGGGTATTTGTCTAAAGTATAATAAACATTGTAGAGTCAGAAAACATGACAGGCACCAGCACGCACACAAACATGCACAAACATTAGTTTAAAAGAAAGAGGCAAAGGATAGTGACCCTTGAGGAAACCTGTTAACCACACACAATACGGCTATTAATAAAGAATTCAACCACCTGAGAGGAAACTCCCACATGCTTCTGATATGTGCAGAAAAGTGAATTACGTGGTTTCGGTAGGGGAAAACAAGGAACATTTCACTGACAAACTCTGATCACAATTTTCAACATGAATAGTTTGTGGCTCCTGAGACATTGGATAACCAGGTTGACGTTTCAAACTGCACAAGCTCCAAAAAGCATCCGTGGGGGAAGTACAGGAGTGCAGCCTGAGCCGAATGCATGCCTGCATCAAAAGGAGTTCAGGCAAAGTGAATGCTTTTTTACTTTCTGAGGTAGGTGCTTTCCATTTAGTTTTTAATTTCTGAATTCAAGAATAGCAACCTGTTGAGTTGTTTAAACCTCAGGAGGAGAAAAAACTCCAGTTTATTAACCATTTTCTTGCGCAGGGGAACTAACACCAGTGTCAGAGGTTCTCAGTTACTCCTGATTACCACAGTAGACTCAATCTGCCAAGACAAACAAAAATAATGCCACACATATCTGACAATAGTTTGCCCTTTTCCAGTACTAGAAGCTCAGTTATGGTGCATAAGACTATCAGTGCGTTAGAAAGTCCTAATCAAGTTATGCAATTTTTTTGCAGATGGTGAATTCATTGCTAGCAGGAAAACCTGCCATGCAAATATTCCAGTTCAGTTCCACCAAGTTGAAAAATCCTCACTAGTACAAACAGCTACTTTGAAAGTTGGCTATACCATAATACCAACAACTTAATTATCTTTTTAGCCTTGCACTTTCCAAGGCCTTTTTGCTTCAGTCTGCCCCTGTTAAGATGCACATTTATCAGAAGATTGATTCACATTCGGATTGCCTCCAACTACATACCTGACTTCATTCTGTATCTGAATTTCTAATGCTCCTAAAGTATTTAAAATATGTAATTACATGGCATATAAATCATTAGTGTAACAGTACTTCCACACTGTTTCTTCTAACTCCTCGGCTGCTGTATGAGTGGGTTCAGAGTTGACTCTGTGGGCATCTCTGCTCCCCAGGGTTCTTCCAGCAAACTGCTCTCTTGCTACTGCATCAGAAATAACTTCTTCCGTGTAGCTGTGCCCTTTAAGCCACACTAGCCCAGCTGGCAGAATCCTTGCTAATTGGCTCTATTTATTACTTTGTTTACTCATTTCAGTTGCTTAGTACTACCAAATACAATTCCTTATTCCTATGCTATGCTAAGCAGTAATCACAAACAATTTTTTAAAAAGGGACACTCTGGACACTGCTGAATGTCTGTTTTTTCTGTTTATGGAGCACTCCTTGTACATACCCAAAATTACTCTATTTAGAAGTCAGCCTAGGGAACTTCATTTTCTGCATGAAGGAGATTTAGTTACCAAATTTCTCCATCACCTTCACAAGCCGCCGCTTATACTGGTTTCCACTCTGCCTACGCCCACACACACAATTGCAGTCTGACTGCATACTCACAGCGCTCTGTCCATATACTGCTTTCTGGAGATGAGGGAATTTGAATTAGATTCTCTCACATTCCAATGCAAACATGCATGGGGCAGTCTCTTTCCATATTTCAAGGTTTTGGCTGCTCTTTCCTCAGCCAACACTGAAACATCCACAGTAGAGTGACTTGATGGACATGTTAGTCTGCACCTATACATACATCGTGTTCCACTAAGCGGCACCAAACCCTGACATTCTGCATTCCTTGTGCTGGGTGACATTTCCTACACACCAACCTCTCCATAAGGCTTGACTTCAAAAGCTTTGCCTTTTTCCCATTACTGTTTCTGCCACCCATCTGACCTTGTAGTACACAACTAATTCTTGGTAGTGTTTTTCGGCTTTTTCCAAGTATTTAGAGCCTGGCAGAGAAAGGCCTACAAAGGCAGGGGAAATGGAGAACAAGCACAACAGACAGCAGCAACAAAGAAAGCAGCAGCTTGGACCAGGAGGCCGTGATACAGGCAGAAAACAGGGGAATTTGAGAAACCCTTTTATCTGTGGGGGACTAGCAGAGGAAGGAGCCAACTCCTTCCCAGAAGATTCTTCTCTTGGCAGACTGATCAAAGGGACATGATCGTCCAGCAGCCAAACCCAAGACACTAGGAACTGTTTGGTTTTTGGCCACAAGTTTGAAATAGTAAAAGCTCAGCCCTGTGCTTTAGCGTAAGTCAATCGAGCAGGGTGACAGGAAACAGTGGGGTCCTCACTCACACACCAACTTAACTGCACTGTATTTTTAACTGCAAAGAAGCTCCAGGAATGAATTTGTCTCAAAAGGCTCCTGAACATGATGTTAATATTAATTATGCAATTCTCAGCCTCTCAAGAACACTTTCATCTGTAATAGCAGATTTTCAGTCTCTCTTACTGGAAATACTCTCCTGTTTTCCTATATAAAATAGTCTGTCTCAGAAGTAAAAATTATTTTTGCTACTCAGTCCACTGAAAACAGGATTTCAAGAAACGCATTTATACAATAAATACCGATTTCACACACTCAAGCAAATATTCTTTAAAATATGATAATTCATCACTATATTTGCTTAATAGAAAATACAGTGATCACTATTTTTTCTTTATAGCATGTAAATGAGCAAAAGAGAAGAAAAGCTATTTTCAGAGCTTTCTAAGATACATACATGCCATTATTTTCATCACATACCTCTGTCTTCTGTAGTTTCTTTCCATGCAAAGAGAAGAGAAAGAAAGAAGAATGAGTTATCATTATGCAGGTATACATGGTCAGTAAGAGAAAAAAAAAATGTAGAGACAAAAGCAACGTATGCAGAATGAAATTTTTGCTCAAAATATTTCTACAGAAAACATTTCTGAAATAAACATACCTCTATACATACTAAATTAGAATAAACAAGGAAAATATATTCATGTTGATGGCTAAAGTCAGTGCTGATTTGGAGGTGCTGTTCATGATGAGTTTAAGTCTATTCACTGTGAAGCTGCTACTGAAAGATGCACTTATGCCCTCCACCTCCAAAAACCAATCCCACTGGCTAGATGTGATCTGGAAATGAGCCCCTAACTTTTGGAGTTGCCCTCAAAACAGAAGGCCAAATTTGCAGATACTACCAGAAACTGAGGGTGATATACCAAGACAGTGTAAACTACCTTTTTATTGTCCTAATCTCCATGGTTTTTCCTTTTTTTTTTTTTTCCTTACATATTTCTGAGCTGTCCTCAGCCTACCGAGGTCTCACAAACCAGCAGAGGATGTGCCGGTTCGCTATGACAAACTGCTGGGGCCATGTCCCAGCTGCGCCTGCAGCTGAACCTGCCCAGCCTTCCAAGCACACCAAGGACCAGTGGAGGAAGGACTTCAAGAGCCACTCTCACCCAAACACAGGTCACAAAGAAAGTACCTTGAATCTTTTCTTAATACATGCAAAAAACCTAGACCCTTCTGTTTTTAGAAGTAATTCAGAAAAGGAAAAAAACTGAAAGAGATCAGTCAGGTTAAAATAATCCATTTTGCATCAGTGAGCAGAAAACTGACAGCTCTACATCAGGAGAGAATTTGCACCTTATTTGCAAATTACAGATCTTCCTCTTACTGAAAAGTATGCCTGAATTAATTTCAGGTTAAGCTGACTGAACACAAACACCTGTTTAAGGAAGCCTGTGGTTAAATGCTTTACTGACTGACTGAAGAGTAATCTTCCCAAATTTATGCTGTCATTATGAAAGATTTATAATTGAATCAGACTGTATACTGGTATTTCCTTTGGCAGATAAAGTAGAATCATAATCTGATCCTCTATAAAGAAATAGACATATAACTAAATAAGAAATTTCAAACCTGGATCAAGCTTTACAAAACCACAGATATGTAAAGATTGCTTGAAAATGATAATACTATAAAAATGTTGCTTTATAAGTATGATCCAATTTGGATTTTTTAGATTATGTTTGAACTGGTTTTTTTTTTCATAACGTACTCAGCTATCAGGTAAAATAAACATATTTTAAAATTGTATTAAGAAGAACAAAATTTACTTACTTGTAACCCCAGCCAGTTATTCCTAAAACGAGAGCCAACACTAAAATGGTGCCAGCAATAGCCCCTATTATTATATTTGTGCTAATGACACCTGAAAACAGAAGAAAGGGGAAAAATATACAGGGCTTTAGGAGAAAAATATACAAAACCAGTAAATGCACTGTCTTACAAAAACCTGTTTGGACAACTTGCACTAGGATGATTAATTCTTAGCAGTGGTATAATCTTGAAGTATAGCATGAACATAACAAAATCATTTGTAAATCAAGCCTTGACCTCTGTGTCCGTTTCCCTGAACTGAACACTTGCTACATGGGGATGCTGTACCAGGTATGCCAGTATAATGTTATCAATTAAACTGCTTTGGCTTACATCCTTATAACTTGCCTGACAAATACATGCTTACACTGGAATACAAGTGACTCTGTGTGTTTGCTCAAATCCCTTCCATACCTGAATAAACTAACCAAAAGAGACATTCTGGAAGATGGTAGAACTGTGTCGTGTCCCCCCCCCAGGATTTATAATGAAAAACAATCACACCCTCATTTTTCCACAATATATCTTTCCCTTGTATGCAAGCCTAAAGATGAATTAAAACTTCCACTCAAAAAAACATAAAAAGCCTAAAATTTGTGTGCTGACATTCTGCATACTGGCCATGTAACAAAAAATTCACTCCACAAATAAAAACCAATCACATAAGTAACATTACCTTTCCATCTATATATGAAAAGTCCCATTAACTTTTTGCTTGTCCTGATCTATCAATATACTTAATAAGGCCACTCAGATGACTGGGATAAGCAAGGTGCAACTGGGCACACTGGTACCATTCCCAAGAGGTGTACCAAGCACTTGTGAGCGGCACCGCTCACATCCAGCCCCATGTCTGAGACCTCATTCACAGACACCGAGTGCTTCTGCTATGGGAGGAAGGGAAGGGAATGAGGTTCCTATGGTGCATCACGTTCTATGCAAACTGAAAGAGTAGGAGATCTAGTTTTGCTTAATAAACCTTCCTCATATCCAAGCTTCACCAGTTATTGGTAAAAATTGTAACAGTGTACCTTTATTGATGGCATCTTTATCAAAAAATATAACATCTTTGATGCGAGAACTGCAGTCATCTCCTCCCCAGAATCGGTCACAGACACACTTTATTTCATTGCTACAAACCTGCAGCCAAAAGCGTAGCTCAGAATAACATCACAAAATTAACCTATTCCCATAATTAATGCCTACAGCATAGGTATATAATAGTCATATAGCACTGATAGCGTGTGTGCAAAATTCTGCAAAAACATTTTTAATATACAGCTGTTTTTAATGTATTTATTAGACATAACTGTATTAAATGTAGCTATACCTTATATATTAATATGTCATATGTATTAAGTACATAGAAGTATTTTAATGTAATGTATACTTAATAGAGCCATTTATAAATGCTTTTGGAGACTCTGAAAGTCAACGATTTAATTTTTTCAAAATATGACAAAGTGTTCACTTCAGATAAAAAAGTGAGTTTTCATGCAGTGTAAAAGACAAAAGACATTTTGAGAGAACAGCTCCTTTGATCTCAGCTCAGCCGTAGGGACCTGGACAATGTTTTAAATTGTGTGGGGGACAAAGGGACTCGCCAGGGCCACAGCAAAGCCACAGGCTGTGCATCGAGCAGAGAAGCTGCCACTAGCCAAGAGCCAGCTCACTGCCCTCTTCTCCAGCGCAAAGTAACTCTCAGCCAACAAAGTCCAACAACTTAGTGAACCTTCTTGGCTGCTGACACAATAAAGAGGGAATTAAAAAGAGCATATGGAAGAACAGAGACCCGAGTTTCTCAGTTCATAAAACCTTTATATTCTCCAGTACGTTGCCTGAGGAAGTATCAGTCAAGTTAACAGAAGTGACAGCAAAATAATTGACTGATAAAATTTTTGTAAAACTAATACATACCTTCTGTGACTCATTGTTTAAGATGCCTTGACTGGTATGCATTATGTTTACTTATGTGCCTCCTCCTCCTTTCCTTTTCAAAAACTTCTCAAGTATAAAAATTTCTAGAGTCATGCTAAGGTCTACCTAGTACACTACACAATGCCAGCTACTCAGCAAAACCAGAAAAAAGGATTAAAGAGTACAAGAACATACACCGTGTCCTGAACAAATTTGGCTGTCCGTGGTGCCTGGGCAGGTACTGAAGTTGAAGGCCTCGATGGGGAGGCAGCGATGCTCAAGGCACACCATGTTGGGCCCACACGGCGTCCCGTTCTCCACATAGCCCAGGTCCGTCTCCTCATCGAGCTTCACATGGCCGCCACTGCAAGACAACCAAGAGGACCCCAGAGAATTGTGCTGTGATTAGATGGAACTGCTTGAGAAACCAGGTCTGGGCTGCTGCCTTCAGTTTTGTTTGCATTATACGATGCCCAGGACCAAGAAAGAGTAAGTATTGGCTTATTTATCTCATGGGCCCTAATGTGAAACAAACCGAAACACAATGTATCTACATCAAACAAATGCAATGGTGAAAACAAAGACCATTTTTCCTGCGTAAGAGCTAGGGTCAGATACAACACTCAGTTAACTTGTGAAGGACTTTATTTCATTTTACAGTTGAGTGAAGCTATGAGAACACACCAGGTCTATAATTGGGATTCAGCTAACATACGGCAACATAATAAGCTGCCAGTTAGCTTTGGCAGTGCAGGCATATGTCTAAGCATTTTGAGTACATTAAGTACTTTACAAACGTTAAAGAACATAAAATCAAGAGGCCAGAGAAGAGCATTATGTCTCTACAGGCAAAATTAACTACTACACAGAGAGAACTGCAAAACAGCTGCACTCCCCACAGACAGTCAACTTCCCAAAGCTTAACAAAGGTTGAGCTGGAATAATGGTTATGTGTTAATAGGAGGGAAAAAAAAAATATGGAAACAGTTGTTCTCCACTTAGGAATGAGAAAGAGGCTTTTCTATAAAAGATGAACACTGATTGACTCTGTTCTGTTTTCAGGATTTCCAATTACCTGCAATTGTAGATTTTTCCAAACTGCAAGACTGATGATGTGATTTCACCATCAAGTTCTCCAAGTCGGGGCACACTGGATATATTGGAGCACAGAAGGTATCCACAAAGCACATCCCTGCATTGAGAGAATAAACAGATACTCACTGAAAATTCAGTGAAAATGGACAATGAAAAAAATGTGATTTTTTTCATATGCTTTGTAACATGTTTGTTATTCCTTGCTTTTCTCTCACTGACAGTATCTCCCATAAATAATGTCTGGTTTCCCAAGACAATTATTCTCCTCAGACCTTAGACTGGGAGAGTCTTTTTCTGATGTATTATGAAAAATGGTCTGAGTAATAGCAAGCAGGGACTTATCAAGAACAACCCACGTCAAACTGATTTAACAAAACAGTAACTGGCCCATAGTGTAGAACCAGTGGATAACTGGTTTAAACTCTCATATGACACACACATAAGGGAACTCGATACCAAATTTAATTCAACTGTTGAAGGGACTTCACAACTCATGTGCAGAGACTTGTGCTCTGTCAGAACAGAAGAGTCTGGCGTCTCACATATTACTGAATATTTTTTAATCATGGATATGTAATGGGAGAAAAGGTTATCAAATCTGCACAGAAAGGTGGGAAGGGATATGAGTTCATCTGTAGGCAGGACTAGAATTGACACTGACATGAATGGCATTGACAGAATGGAGAACTCATCTGAGAAAACAGGGTGCAGTTTGATAAGGACTGTCAAAAGGTTCAGAAATAGGAAGAAATAATCAACTGCATAAATACAGAACGTGCAACAACAGTTTAGGCAGCAACTTGCAGGAAAAGATGTGGAAAATTACAATATGATGAATATTGAACACAACCATGCAATGGCACAGCACAAAAGGTGAACAGCACACGGAGACGTGAAACCACAGGCTGCTTTCCTCTGCACTGCTAAGCCTCACAGAAAGTACTAGGACCACTTTTGGTCCAAGTGCTCCCAAACCTCAAATGGAGCTCCCTGACAAGAGATCACCTTCTCTTGACACTCCGCTCCCTCCAGAATTTCCTGCACTGAGGTCTGCAGAAGGCGGCCAGGGGAAGTCTGATACATACAGAGGATTTTTGAGTCTCTTCATACCAGCTAAAGAACTGGACCAGGGATAAAAGAGACTCATACCAGTTGTTTTCTAAATGGATCAACTTACTGTTTATTGCACTGTATCCATGAGTCCTTGTCTCTTCCACAGTTTCCTTTCTCGGTCCCTTCAATATTCAGCTTCTCATAGCAGTACCTGTCAGCAGCTTTCACTTCTGAAAACAGAAACAAATCTCTCCTAAGGTAATGAAAGACTCTAAAGCCAGATCCTGGGAAAGGGGGATGCACCATGGTGTGCAGGAGGCCTGTGGAACTCTGCACAGTGTTCTCAATGAAAAGTTTTAAGCTGGCACCACAGGAGTGTTTTAAAGTTTTGTTCAGAATGACCAGGTTTTATTGGTCAAAAATGTCCAGAAGCCACTGAAATAAATCAGTAAATATGAGTATAGACTCCCTATGTGGTTATTAATGAGAATTAAAACCTAAGACTTCAGAATAATCACCAATAAGTTAAATCAACAACAGAAAAAGAACTGAAAATGAGGACAAAAAGACAAAATGAGGGGGGAAGAAGGGGAGTGCCATACAGCCCTAGCTGGTTTTTAATGGTTCTGAATACATTCTCATCCATAACTTCTCTTAGCTAAGTTCATCTTTCAAGCCACATGAATGACCACCAACTTACAAACAGTAACATTCACTCACTTTCACCCCAGATATATTTACACTGCCGGTCCCTGGTTTTACATCTTCCTCCAAAACAAATACCCTAGAAAGAAAGAGATACAGAAAATGTTCCAAATAACTTAGTTTTACAAAATGTGCATTTGTTCAATATATAGATTTGTTCCACGCTTTCTATTGCGGCAACTAGTATTTGCTTCTACTTTCCATTTATTTAAATGCTTAGCTCCAAAATGTGACTAGCACCAAAAACTCAGGAAGGTCAGCACAATTCTCTCAAGTAACTTCCAAAGATCTTAAACAAAAATCTATAAAAAGCAGTTTATAAAAGCAGAAAGAATGTAAAACAATTGAAGTGCTAATTACCTGCTTGTTATCACATGAATATCCATCCATTTTATGAATATTGGGAGAACACTATAGAAAGAGAAAATAACTAGTAGATCACAGAACAAACATGCATGGAAGCAAAGTATACAACAAAAGTCAATTTGAAAACTATTTCAGTATCATGCTGTTTTCCAGTATCAGCAGGTTTAATACAATTTTTTATAGAGCTTACTTTACAAAATGGTAATATTCATAGTGATTAAGAGACTACAGGTAGATTTTTTTTTCATCTCTTGGACAGAAGATATAAAAATCACCTGACTGGAATTTCCTGTGCAGTTCTCTGCAATATCACAATCATTCACAGCTTCTCGGCACAAAACTCCTTTAGGTTCAAACTGGACAAAAAAAAGGACAGAAAATTAGTGTCTTAGTTTCTCCATATCTTGACTTAAATGCGATGCTCCCTTAGAGTTTTAACTAAAATAAAAACCAGGAAATATTAATGTGCTGACTGAAGTGGGAAGGCTTCCCTTTCCTTGGTGCAGACATTGCAACACTCAAGCCACCGGCCATTTACCAGTGCAAGTGGTTCCACTTTCTGATGCACCACCTCCAAAGTGCACTGGGTGCGGGACCAAGCAGGAGAAGTGCTATCCTGGGACACGTGACCCCTGAGGTTTGTCAAAATGCAGTGGCTTGCAGCATTATCTTGATCAAGTCATTGCACCTTTTTGTGACTATTGTACTCTTCTTTATAAAAACAGGATAGTGATCCTGATCTTCTCTCTATGCAAAACTCTAGGTATAAGCTTCTATCCAGAGAAGCGTGGCCAGCAGGTCAAGAGCAGTGATTCTCTCCCTCTACTCTGCTCTCATGAGACCCCACCTGGAGTGCTGCATCCAGCTGTGGAGCCCTCAACATCAGAAGGATATAGACCAGTGGGAGCGAGTCCAGAGGAGGCCACGAAGATGCTCAGAGGGCTGGAGCACCTCTGCTATGGGGACAGGCTGAGAGAGTTGGGTTTGTTCAGCCTGGAGAAGAGGAGGCTCCGGGGAGACCTTATAGCACCTTCCAGTCCCTGAAGGGGACCTACAAGAAAGCTGGGGGGGACTTTTTACAAGGACCTGTAGTGATAGGACAAGGAGGAACAGGTTTATATTGAAAGCAGGGAGATTTAGATTGGATATCAGGAGGAAGTTCTTCACAGAGAGGGTGGTGAGGCACTGGAACAGGTGGCCCAGAGAAGCTGTGGATGCCCCATCCCTGGAAGTGTTCAAGGCCAGGCTGGATGAGGCTTTGAGCAAATTGTCTAGTGGAAAGTATCCCTGCCCATGGCAGGGGAATTGGAACTAGATGGTCTTTAAGGTCCCCTCCAGCCCCAACCGTTCTATGATTCTGTGATTCTAACCCATTAGTGGCAATTGTTAGTCCTTCCGTTCATGGACATACTACAGATTACTTATTTTTCCTGAAAGGTTTCTTAAATCGGTGGTACCCAGTCCATTTTGCAGCTCTGTGACTTTTTTTCTGGATCTGCATGCGCATACATTTTTTGGGGAACAATGCTAACTCCACAGCTGGTGTGAACACGACAGAGGAAAAGGTACACTCTGGTACCTTCTCAGCCTTCAGCTTATCTTTTTCCTACCAGTCTCTGGAAAAATGAAGACAGGAATGTTGGAATGTTGTCAGAGGCACTACAGGATGCTGGGATGTACACTCACCATGTTTGGCTTGCAAACCCTCCTTCACTCCTGCTTTCAGGAAGGGTATTACAGGGGAAGGTAAATGCACATTTGGGAATTGTTATATATGGTCTTTTGGCTTGTCCTGATTAACACCTCCTAGGGACATGTGTTTTGCAAAATTCTGCCTTTCTCCTCATTGGCTAACCCACACTACTCCTCATGTAGATAAACCCTTGTCCCATTTGCAAAACTAATGTATGTACACAGAAGCTTAATTTATTTCTTATAGTCTTTAATATGGTGCCTGTATGACTTGGATGCTTGAACAAAATTCACCCACACTGGCAATCTGCTATTTTTTTATACTACATTAAAAAAAGGAATGTGCTTAGGAAAACGTGATCTGTTCAGCAAAATCTGTGCTTTTTCTTTTTTTAAGACTAGGATGATCACAAAGTCGAGAATGTGGTCCAGAATATTACTAATGTTCCTCCTAAGGAAATGAAACCCACAAATGCCCACGGACAAAGATAAAAATATCACACATAGTACACAACAGTCTTAATAATAATACTTATCAGTATTACTAGAGTGAGTATAAACAACTATGTGAAGTCATATTTAGCTGGACTCCCTTACAACCAGTATCTGGCTAAACCAACTTTAACTATTTATGAGTAAAAACACCTTATATACAGGGCTTGACTATTTACTCAATGGGATTTCAGTCAGTCCAGACATAAGAAGACAAAGGCAGATGTAACTGAAACTGAAGTCAAGTGTCTTTTAGATGAACACTTCTCAGCAATTCTGCTAGCTGCATTTTGAGGTTGGTTTTTTTTTTTACTACTCTCATGCCCTCTGTGATACCACTTTCTTATTCAGTCTCATGGAGCAAATCCAGAGCAATGTGTAAAGCACTGGGAGCAGTGCATGGATAAGGCCGTGTATGTTTAAACAGAACATCTAATGACACCTCGTGGAACTTCAACCTGACTCAAGCTTGTCTGAAACTGGAAGGCTTTAATTCACCTCTGCATTTGATCACAGTCCCCGCCTCAAGAAGCCAAGCCTGAAAGATAGAGAATAGCCCCAGACGAACCAGTTTTCAGCCAATTTTAAAAGGTAAGCTTTCAGAAGAGCAACCACAAGGTCTGCAAGGAAAAAGACATGTGCTGTGGTGCCTGTAGCCATGTGGATGCGTTTCTGTCGGCATGCTGCAGTGCAGGTCACTGCCCTTACCCGACATTTCCGACAGCAAAGCCCGTTGCTGCACTGGGAGCCTGCCGTCAGGGTGCAAGTACTGCAGCACTCTCCTCCTTCACTGGCACACTCCTGAGGAACACACACACTTATAACAGAATACATGGGAAAACAGGTGAGCCCCAATCTCTCTTATTACTTCTCGTCTTAGCACACTACCTGAACAGATTTTTAACCAGGGCTTTAGTCACCTGGAGGCAGAAAAAGGCATGCACTCCAGGGCATGAAGCTGCTGTTCCCTCTGCAATACAGTAAATAACTTTCTAACTTCACAGTGTCAATCATTAAATACTGACATTTTAGCACTGACCAGAGTCACGTTACCATCTACAAAAATACAACTTTTTATTTAGTTTTAACAACTTTTAAGGCCTGGTTCTGCACAGGTAGCTATGACTATTACTCTTCAGTATTTATGCGGTGATAAAATAAAAAAAGCTGGTGCACATTGTGTTAATGATGATACAAAAAGGTAAGAAATTATGAATCCTTTGCCACAGGACCTTAGTATTGCCTGTCTTCCTCCTTTTAATGTTAATGGCAGTGACAGGCAGCACCATGCCCTGAAGAATCTAGTTGCTAATTTAAAGTACATTGCACTTACCGCTATCGTCCCACAGTCACACTCCTCTCCATCTTCCACAAAGCCATTGCCACATTCTGGAGGATCCAAAAGCTGCAGGACAAAATCAGAAATCAAAAGGCATGTCTTTCCTGAGGGGATCATTATCATATTTACTCTGTATAACATGGTTTTTTGGCTAGCACTCCAAAGACATTAACCAGAAACTACCTACAACTCGGGGAGAAGCAAACTAGAAACAACATAAATGAAATTTGCAGAGAACTAACAATGCTGTGAACTAATTCAGCAATGTTTCCAAGTCATGTAGAGTCTTCCATTTTTACATCAGATTCAGTTTGAGCAGAAGCCATAATCAAAACCAAAAGGTGTGATAATAAAAGAAAAAGAAAAAGCATTATTGTCACAAGGGTTGCAATTGATGCTCTTCTGGAATTCAAGTTATGAGAGCCATGTCTCAGGTTGAAACCTGTACTATATCTTCAGAAGGAAAAGCCATAAGAACATTGTCCTTTGGAATGATGTGGCTCAGAAATGCATGGAGAGAGGAGAGACTGTGTTTCTTTGTCTATTTTTGTTGTAGTCAGATGCTTTTTCCTTTCCTTTTTCTCTACCATAGTTGGGAACTCTCAGCAGTTTTACATAAGCATGTGTCACAAGCAGATGAGAAAGTATAGCTGGTGAGGCTTCCTCTCATCCTTCAGCCTCGCTCATAAGCTGTAGCTTAAAATGTCTAAATCTGTGTATTTGTAGTAGAAGTTTCCTTTCCGAGGGGTAAGATTCATTCAGCATTTTTTACATAGGACCCATGCTATGCTGCTTTTTAATGGGCACTTATACGCTGTTCTTTGTAGCTTCATTGTTTCTCACTTCCTAAATTTTTAAAGGTAATTCTTCAGAAAGAAAATAAAATGTTTTTTCTTTTCTTCGGGCATAATAAAACATAATAGTAGTTTTATTACAGATGTAAAATGAAAGCAATCTTACTTCAGTTTCTAGAGATTTGTACCAAAAGACATCAGTTCAACACAAATTAGAATTCAAGCTGTGCAGAAGTTTACCAAGACTCGGAAAATATATTCAGCAACACATTGAATTTACAATATTCAGAACAAAATTGTGAGGGATGATTCTAGATCAAAGCCTGCGGGAACTCTGTTGGACATGAAACCACTTTTTAAAAATCAATTTAAGTATTATTTCCAAACTACCATGAACTAAAACCAGCTACTTTTACTTAGATGTCAGAAAATTCAGAGAACTTAGAACCAGAAATATAAAAAGTCAGGTTTTATTCTTTCCAACATTATAATTTTCATTCTTCTTGGTTTCATCTAAACTAGAAATAGAATAGAAATAATATGCAATAATAAGGTATCACTTACTTTGGTTGGTTTATTGAAAAGGCAGGCTCCACCTCCATTGTTTAAAAATTCATGATACTCTTCAATATCACACTTGGAGAACTTGCTTGGAAGATAATACCTGCACAGAAATAAAGTAGCAGGATTACTTTCTGTAGTACTTTTTATACTATATTTTCTTTTTTCAAAATAGGAGGAAAAATGTAATGTTACATTCTAGAAAAAGTACAAAACCCCACTCTTCAGAATCAGAGTGACTATCTGCTTGCAACTCTACATAATTTGTAAATCATTTTAGTAAATGACAACTTTCAACAGTGACACATTTCAGGAAAAGTGAGAGGTTTAAAACATTTCACTAAATTATTTCACACCAAATACCACAAATCTAATTACACACTGTGTAGTTGTCACAAACACGACCCGTTGCACTAACAGCCTTGATCTCAGAAGTACATTTATTTGTTCCCGTATATACCGCAGGAGACAAAGATTGCTCACAGTTCATCTCTCTCTTTGATGAAATTGCTCTCCTGGCCCATGGAATTTTTATAGAATAGTTATGCCATTTTTAATCATGCTTCTAACAAACATCAGCTAACATTTCAGCTTTCCTCTCTCATGTACCCCACTAAATAAATTTCATTCAGGTACAGAGTGCCAACCTAAGGCACAGTGCACAACCTAAAAACCGTATGATGCAGAGAATCTTTGCATGGATCCTTTCCACAGGGAATTTTTCCAGAAGTAACTTAAGTGATTTTTATATTTAGGTCCCTAGTCATGAAAGTACTTATGTTTCAAGCAGATTTTGGAGTCTCAAGGGCTTTCCTGTATCAGCTCATCCTCATCACTGGTTAAGAAAATATTAGCAGAAGTACTATAGAAAATAATTCTGCGTTTCTGGGAATGATGGCTTGCAAAACATAACTGGTATTTTCCATCGCTAGTGTTTATGATTTAGGTCAAATCCTCACATATCCTCTCATTAACTCATTTACTCCCACATTTCTTTGAAAGTGTCTTTTCTATGTATGTTGTACAGCTAATACCTTACATTCTGAAAAATGACTCACAGAAAATACTCTGCTGAATCACAAAAGGCAAACACTTTCACACCATTCTGTTATGTCATATGAAGGCCATGACTTTCCCCTAGTGAAATGCCTTACCCCGTGTCTCCCATTATGCATCCAGACCATGTGTCTTCACACTTACACTCACCTGACAACAAAAAAAAAAAATTACATCTTGAGTCTTGTAAGTCCAAAATAATGCATTTCTTATCACAAAAACCACACTGGAGTCAATTCCATTTCATATTTAAATATAAGTTGAAATTAATCATTTGCTGGTTTATTGCACACCTTTGTTTAAGTGCATCAGTGCCCGTTGACAAACCTTCTTTCATAAACTATACATGATTCTGTGCAATCCTGAGCTTTGAACAGATGTCCTGGTTTTCTTTCCTTTTCTTTAAGCGAAGTTAGGGGAAACCGCAGTGTCACCCTCCAGCACTTGCCACTCGTGAGTCAGCTCTCCTGCTTTCTCCCATGTCATCATATTTGATTCTCAAATTTTCAGATAAAAAAAAAAAAAGAAATTTTTTTTTTGTTCTCTTCTACTACTGTGCTAATGCGACTGGGGAAACCTTTGCTTGGAAAAAAGAATCCACCAAACAATAATGTACACAAAACCGCATAATATGGTCTGTAAACAGAAGCCAGTACAGCAGAATCTAGCAGCTTCTTCCTCTGCTCTCCCTCCCTTCCCTGCCTGCCTTCCTTCTTCAAGCAACTCGCCAGCAGGCAGAAGGCAGCTCTCCCTTCTGCCCTGCCAGGCTGCCTGGGATTGCTTTGCTCTGGTCACAGCCCTCCACTTTCAGAACTGTGACTTGTGTCTATTTCTGTTCAGATGCTTCGCACGTACACTTTTCTCTTTCTCCAATTTGCATTACTGTAATACATGAACATCACTTTATTGCTTCCATTTTAAAAGTACAGTTAAAAAAGAAATGAGGCTCAGCCCAGCAGTTGTATTTTCCTCCCCCTACCCCACCAAAACCATGTCCTGCTTGTCTGCTCAGCCATAAGAAAAGGAACCACCACTATTACCATTTTCACTTTTACCCTGCCCCTATATCAGGTTAATAATACACAACTTGAAAATGAATAATGAACATGGTGCTGTATAGAGCATCCATCCTACATTTCTGTGGAGCCCTCAACATAAGAAGGATATAGACTAGTTGGAACAACTCCAGAGGAGGCAAAAAAGATGATCGGGGGGCTGAAGCACCTCTCCTATGATGAAAGGCTGAGAGGGTTGGGTTTGTTCAGCCTGGAGAAGAGAAGGCTCCAGGGAGACCTTATAGCCCCTTCCAGTACCTGAAGGGGCTACAAGGAAGTTGGTGGGGACTTTTTACAAGGGCCTGTAGTGACAGGACAAGGGGTAATGGGTTTAAATTGAAAGCTGGGAGGTTTAGATTAGATATCAGGAGGAAGTTCTTCACGGAGAGGGTGGTGAAGCACAGGAACAGGTTGCCCAGAGAAGCTGTGGATGTCCCATCCCTGGAATTGTTCAAGGCCAGGCTGGATGGAAGGCTGTGAGCAACCTGGTCTAGTGGAAGGTGTCCCTGCCCATGGCAGGGGGGTGGAACGAGATGGTCTTTAAGGTCCCTTCCAACCTAAACCATTCTATGATTCTATGATTTCTGAATAGTTTTCAAAATAAAATTATGTAAATTGCAAAAACCTTTACATGCAGATGTATCTCTGCATTATATACTCTCTTTACATTGACTCAAAACAAAATTCAACTCGAGTTCTATTACTCAATAGAACAATATTGTTTTTTAATGTAAGCTATGCAAGTACACATGATCCAGTAACTAAGCACTCCAATTCATCATCTAAATTGTTTCAAAACTATATTATTATTTTAATCATCCATTGTTCTCTATGTACTTGGATTTCATATAATACGGAAGCAGGGAGAGTGAGGTGTTGTCGGGGGGCAGAGATCTGAATTAAGGCACTGCAGTTAAATAGGAGTTACTAAGAAGCTGAATGCCAGTAGGGTGGCAAACACAGGAGATTTGGGTAATCTACAAGAGGACTTCAGACAAGGCAAACATGGAATAACCTGTGTTGTCAAAACCATCCTACAGAACAGGATTGAGGTGACTCCTCATCTTCCCCAGGCCTAATAATGTTTCTACCTTTGCCGTTTAGTCTGGGGGTGTGACACTGATCTCCCTGAAATTAACATCTTTATTATTTATTTTAAATGAAATGGTGACACCAGTGCTGCCAGCAATTATGGGCAGGGGATATCACAACATTTAAATAGAGGAAAATTAATGATAGGTTTCTCCTCATGTTATTACGAGAAAAATTAAAATACTCCAACATTGTTGGAAATATGGGGAAAAAATGCATATCAGAGAGACATTGATAAGATCCTCCACTTTTAAAGATTTTTCTCTTGAGACAGAGCGAAAAAGCAAACAACCTTACCACTTATAAGTTTCCTTCTATCTGAGAAAATACCAATGTTTTGGGCCAAGGTCTGTGCCAGGGTAACTGCCATTAAGTCTGGCTTTCCGAACTGAAAGAAACAAGCAAGGTAGGAAAAGTATCAGCTATGCACAGGTATCTCAGATGCAAGTGAAGTTTTTCTCGTTTCAAGTGAATAAAAGGCAAAATCAGTTGCACAATGTTAGTTCTTACATCAGAACAGCTGACAAGTGAGGAAAACTAAATGCTGGCTTATGGACAAGTTAAGTGAGAGAAAGTCTGTTTCTTTCAGACCACTGTAGCTGCAAGGATGAACAACGGGATATTTCGGAATCAGTGTATCTGTATCCATATCTGACTTTATTCACCCATCATCACTCTTCTTTGAGACATCTCTCTCATAGAGCTGCAGTAAAACTCTGCATCAGCAAAGAAGCAGCAAGATATTTTGAGAAACATGTCTGCTCTGATAAATTCTGTATAGATAAATTTCCACCATTTTTTGCTCATACCAGTATCCCCACCTACCTCATTCACACCTCCGCCTTTAAGCAAGGAGCAGATTCCACCAGTGTGGGCTATGCCGCTCCGACTGCTCTGAAATCGACTTCCCCTTTGACAAAAAGGAAGAGAAAATAAAGTTTACCCTGCTCAGCCCTTAAGTTCTGCACCTACCCATCCCAGTATTCACCCTTCCGATTTCCAAATGAGAAAGTGGCATTTGCATATGCTGGCTGTCACCACTATGCTGCAAACTACACAAAAACAAAATGGGAAAACCAGAAAACCACTCACAAACCTCACATGACAAATTATCTCCAGAGAAGCTGTACCATCTTCCCTCCTCCATCTTACATTATCTAATATAGGAAAGTACAAGAGGACTATTTTGCCAAACCACCTGAATCTCACCAGCCTTTTGTTCGTTGACATACTACTGCAGCAAGTGACTTCCACTGGCACACGCTACAGAATGAGCACAGGAGAGGCTACCATGTTGCCAACGCACGGGGGACTAGTAAAAAGATGTGTTCAGTTGGGCAATGCTGGTGTGAAAAACTCAAAGGGAGATGTGTTAGTGGCTCCCTGATGTAGAGGTAGGTGAAAACTCCCTGGAACTGCAGCCCATCTTATCCAGGGGACAGCTGCACTGTGAGCCTAAATATAATCACCTCTTTGGTGCTGGTCATGTCAGCATGAATGGCTGCCAGTTACTGGAGACAAAATATACTCTGCTCTGCTTCAGCATACTCATCCAGCCAGCTGCGGCAAATTGTTTTTTTCAGAGGAAAACAGAAACACATCAAGAAACAACAAAATGGACTGTGCTGAAGGTGGAAGTTCATTTGTAACCAGTGTACCATCACACCAGCCAATGTCACCTCCCAACTTATCCGCATCTCACCCATAGACACAACTTCAGAAACTTAAGTTTCTAAACAGTCTATGAATGCAATACCTCAAACATCGGTGGTGGTGTTATGGACAGCACTGGAATTAGCATTACAGTGGTATCAAGTCCCAGTCCCAGAGCACACAGGCCCCTCTTTGCCCTAGCCAATCCACAAACATTCATAAGAACAAGACTTCCCCTGAAGACCTTACAGTATCACCAGAGAAGATACACAAAGGATGTGAGAAAACCTGATTCCCATTTTACAGGCGAACAGCTGAGACAGAGAGAAACTAAAACGTGCAAGCACCACTCACAGCTCTGACTAGCTGTCTTCATGGCAGCAGTCAATGACAGTAATTAAGTATGTACAAAAATTCTGAAAGGCTGGATACTGGGGCTGGGCATTCTGGCACCCTACATGAGTCATGTGAAAGTGAGGTGTTCAGGTTAAGTTTATTCACATGGGCTCCTACAATGGTCAGCAGAGAAAGATGAGGACTCCAACAGAGCAATTCAACTGGCCTGTGGATCAAAAATCTGAGTCATGAACCTCTCCTCTATTTTTGTACATGTATTTTGTTATATCTAAAACAATTTAAAGATTTAGAGAAAATAACATTTATCCCAGCTTATTCTTCTTATAGCACATGTCTCTCTGCAGAACAAACTGTTTCGAGAACCTGAAATGCTTCAGTAATCCTGCAGCATGCAGGTCATTCAAGAAAATGAAGCAGACCATAGTGCTTTTTAAGCAGGAAACCTCATTGATTTCAAAGTCAATGTCCTGCTTTTAAATAATACAGCAGGGCTGTCCATGCTCTACTGCTGAAGAAGCCAACCTCTGAGGTGGAACCATGCATCACTGTCCAGGCGGCTGTGCTTGCAGAGTAGGTAGTTGCACAGAATAACCAAGGATTACAGCGCATGCAGCTCAGGCTTAGTATATTAAAACAGAGAGTCAAACCTCTAGTTGCACGGGCAGGCAGTTTGTGCATTAACTTTTTCCCACCTCCCCATCAGAAACATTATTTTCTGCATTATTGTGGATTACACACACAACAGAAAGGAGATGCATCAGCCACTTGTGATAAGCAACCCCCAAGGAAAGAAAAAAAAAACCCAGTAATAAAACATCACACGAGATTACGTACGAAAAAAGGTGAACTGCGTCACTTTTCTCTCTGATAAAATCCCTCCTATATTTCATAAACTCACGTAGGGTCACCAAGGGGTTTTCAGATATGGTGAACTTGTTATCAGTAGCCCAGGTTTCCATGGCAACCAATACTATCCTGGTGTTAAGTTGTTCTTTATATATCTAGTACATTAACAGAACGAACAAATATATTATGTCAAATAGAATAAAGGTGATTTTTACCCCTTTTTTGTAATAGCTTGCATTTTTACATAACGAAGTATTTTGCTTATTCTAGCACACTTTAGGTTCTCCCAGGTGATTTTTATCTCCCTTAACACCAACAAACAAACATGAAAAGAAAGTAGAATCTAAATTTTAGGCCTATTCTTCAATCACTTCTCTCAGCCTGTGGAAAGATTACTTGCAGGTCCTACACTGGAAAAATTACTAGAGAATCATTCCAAATAGTTCAAAGACTTGGAATTAATGGGTCTTTCATAACATCCAGCTCACCCCAGTGACACATGAGGGCTCTCTTATACCAAAAAATTACCTACAAAACCGGAGTTTTCACTGTTACACACCTCTATGGGAGTATTTAACCTTGTGCTGGCTGAATCATGAAAAAAAGGGCCATCTTTTCAATGCTGGGGGTCAATACTCCACACCAAATACTTTCAAGAGTAGAAACTGCCTTTTTCTTTTTCCAGTAATACTTTTCTGGGGCGAGGAGCAAGATCCAGCAGCTCATCCAATTTAGCACCATAAATATAATCCACATAATCCATCTGTATGTCCCTATCCTAACTCAAACGAGCTCTTTCTGGGGAAATTTTAGTGCATTTTAATTTGATTGTCCTTTGGGTTTCTGGTTGTCAACACAGGGATCCTGTATTAAAATTTGTCACACTTAAGATGCCCTTTAAAACTCAGCACAAGGAATTGATCCAGCAGGATACTTGAATGTTTGAAGCCACAAAAAGTCTTTAATGCTTTATATTAGACAAAGCCTTTATAGGTGGTTTTTAGCCTGAAAAATTGTGATCTTCACATATGTTACAATTAGGTATACCATGAACTCACAACTCCTGCATCTATCAGTAGGAGAGTCATATGACTCATCTCAAACGTAAAAGAACATTTAGTTGAGTGATACTTACTAAATCTGCCATGTTCACAACCGATTTAGCATAACTGTTTGTATGGCCGACAGACAAACGGTGCTTTTTACACTGCAAAACAAACATACACACGTTACATGTACAGTTTTCAGAAAAATAAGCTCCATTTCTAAAAAAACACAAAGTAAAAAGCAACTACATCAACAGTAAAACCTCTGTGCAAGGTTTGGTCTCCTGTGCTGAATGTAGTGCTAATAAGCAATAGTAAAAAATTGCTCAGAAATGTACATTAGTGGTATAGTTTACAACAGCTGTTGCATTAATTCCTGTTTGGAAAGCACTCTAAGATCTATAGTGAAAAATGCTATAGAAACAGGAACATACTGTTATTTTTGTGTTATCTTTATTATTGCCAGTTTTAAATTTAATTCCAAGTGACAAAACAGAAATTAGCAACACTATTTCCATAGCTGAGACTTCTTTAGAGGGCTTAGCCCAAGAAAGCCTGCATCTGTGTTTTAATGTATCCACTAGACTTCCTATGTTTGGGTTTTTTTTTCAGTTCTCTCTCTTAAGCTGCCTTCTGGATTTCTTCATGCACAATTTCACATTCCATAATGCCACAGCAACTGGTTTGAATCACTTGAGCAATAAGACTGCAACAGCACCCTTACTGATATCTATAATACAGTGCTATAAAGATGACGCTGAAAATAGCTGTCCAGGTACTCCTATCTACATAAAAAACACTTACAAAAGAACACCTTGGGTATGAAAGTCATAAAGTATCTTAGAAGAATTTATGACAAAAGGATCAAGATTTTCAGAAATGTTTAACCATCTTGTGCCCCATGATGCCTGATTTTGGAGTGAAAGTTGTCCATATTTTCTGGAAGTTAGGATCTTTTACTGGGCAAGGAGTGTCCAGTAGCTAGGGGGTGGAGGAAGGATTTTTTTTGAATGGGGAAAGAAAATCCCAAAATGAGGATGTTAAACTTGCTAAAAAAACAGAAGGAGAGGACCGCGAAGCTAAAAACGGTAGAAAGGATGAAATGGTAAAGCTACAAAGCAAGTGGAAAATGTAGCACAGGAACAAAGGGAATGAGTACACTACTCAAGTCTGTATTTGCAACTAAAATGTCAAATTTCAGGCCTCCAGCCTCTCTAAGCATCCTACAGAAATGTCTTCAGTACACTAATTTATAATCCTATTTCAGTGTTTGGGTTTCAACAGCTTCATTCCCCGACTGGAAGCAATGGTTGGACGAGCAGCTAAGAGGACAGACAGCAGTGCAGCGCACCCCTCACAGGGCTGAGCTGCCCCCAAGGGGGCTGGTGGGATGCAGCTGGCTCCACAGACCAGAGGAAGAAGCAAAAGGTTCATTGCTCCCTCCAGGAGAGCCTGGGGAGGGTGAACGATGGAAACAGCTTCAACTCCCCAGGCTGTCAGCTCCACGCTGAGCCCATCTGGAGGCTCGTTCCAATTTAGGGAATTCTGCATCCAGTATTGTCCAATTTAATCCAAGAACGTACTCATATGCTCATCAAACTGAGCTGATGGAGAAGTACACTGTCTTTGGACAGTGGCACATTCCTTTTACACTGATGTCTATTTCTGCCAACTTGAGTAATGCTTGAGAGAAGCTGCATGTAACAGAAAGGGTAGATAAAATGTATAGATACATTTTGATTTTAAAGCCATAAAGGACCATCACATCAACTAATGTTGCCAGTCAGAGGGGCAGTTCAGTCTCTGAACTTACCCAGTTTCTTCAAGATTGAATCCTACTGTTTGAGTTTGACACCACCACATCTTCCAAAAATACACTGTCTGGATTTGAAGACTCCAAGTGAGAGAATTCACCATTCCTTTGATATTCCTTTCATTAATTATTGATCATCTTCACTGACATAAATGCGTGCCTTTTCCCACTTGAATGAGTCTGATTTTTCTCCAATACACTATCTTTGTTATGCCTCTTTCCACTACATTAAAAAGCCTATCTGTGTTCTCCCAGAGAAAGTATACAAGCTTAACAAAATAGTATTTTTACATTGATTTTAACATATAAAAAAATCTAGTCACTATTAATCTCCCCATTGTCAGCAGACAATGCACATTGCAATAACTGCATTATTGATGGCTGAGTGGCTATAACTAAGATAAGTGCTCAAGAAAGCCAGAAAGAAAAACATCAGCTTAAGTCACAGTGACATTAGTTACTTTTTGACACAAAGCTTTAATTTATGACCCTTCTTTCTGATACTCAGGCCTGGCTGCATTCTTGGTGAAATCACCTTGCCAAAATTCAGAAACAACTTCATCAATGGCTAATGAGACTATGATGTCTTTTTTTTTTTCAGGGCATACTGAATTTATTCTGAATTTGTAGTTGTCCTTCATTGTTCTCCTTTATGGACCAATTAAGACAATTGGATGTTAATAATTACATGATGTTGAAGTGCATCAGTGACCACAACAGTCAGTCTTACCATTAGATGGTCATTAACAATCATTAACTCAATGTATTTTGTTTCCTCTTCAACTTTACGTGGAATCTGACGAACCTACGGAGAGAGTACAACTGTAAGAAAGTCTAACAGAATACAGATAGGGTGTAACTGATAACTAGAAATGGCTTCAGAAAATTCTCATGCATATATTTTTCCTGTTGCCTCAGTTCTGGTCTCAGATATTGATGAAACTTCTGATGCATATTTAAAAAAATTTTTTTCACCTCCACCAGGACATTTATATGACCTTAAACAATGAAATCAAGTCTTTCAACACATCTAATTCCCAGTTTAGTTTTTTTTAAAGAAAGAGAATCTCAGTGGGGCCTACCTAAAAGTGGCTGGTGTCAGCTCTAAATGTTTTTTTTCCACAGAGAATGGGATCCCTCCTGCACCCTTGATGAAAAACCTCTGCAACAATTCTATTTCTTACTCACACACTGCTCCATTCACACAGTGAACACCGTAGTCACCTCTGAGTTACCTTTACTTTGTACTTAGAAACATTTATGACTGTGTTTCTTCATGGTGTCCTTGTTTTCCTGTGTTTTCCAGGAGAGTTATTTCATCGTTATGATTTAAAAATGCAGAGTAATGGCTAGTTTATAGAAAGGTAGCAAACCACCTGGTATAAAGTAGTACCCTCAAGAATGATGTCTGGAATTTCTCCAATGTCTTTCTCATTTCTCTTTTGCCTCTGAGAGGCTTGCACTAGAGATGCTGAAGTCACCTTCCCCTCCCCCTGCTTTCAGTATTTCATTTTTTTCTGCACGGTTCAGCCCCCCAGACCCAGCTCTGTTTTGACTTGTACCATTATTTGAGCTCTGTTCCTAGAACACGAAGAATTGCTGTTATCTTTCCAGGGTACAAACATCTCCACATAGTGGTTCCTCCAATTTAATAAACAGGGAATGAACTCTTAGTTTAGAATATTTATATTAAATCAAAGTCAAGTGGATTAAAGTAGCTACTTGTCACCATTGCAACAGAAAAATATTTGTAAATGTTTCTTAATTGGGAGTTTCTGATAAAACTGTACTCAAAATGAGAAAGATATAGCTACTTTTTCATTTGCAAATAGCAGTGTTTAAAAATTTTATAACTCTTCAGATAGGTAAAGTCCAAGAGAATCCAACAGTGTTTTGTCATCATTCGATAACTCTTTTTATAAGAGCTGTATTGATACAGATACCTCCTGCCAAACCAGCAGAAGCAGGACTTCATCTGGATAAATTAATCCAGGAGACACAAACCAAACTCGATGACATAGTACTTATAAACAAGCACATTGGCACATACCTGCCTTTTACTTCTTTTGTGTCTTGGCTTTATAACAAACTTCGGTGATGTTGTATTCATCTGCCAGAACTCTAAGCAGAAAACACAGGCAAATACATTGAATGTTTACAAGAATATAGCCCAACAGTTAGTGACCCCGATGGCGCGTGACAGGAATACGGCATTCTTCTGCACATCAGATGCCCTAACAACTCCTTTTTTCAAGCTTCCAGCTATAAAGAAGGCAACGTTACAGATGCTTCCCTAGTAACAGGGTTCTTATTAAAAACTCTACAAGTGATAATCTGGGTCTGCTGAAACAGCTGATCTGTGGGTGTCACGCTTCAGAAAGCACAGCAGATGTTCCATGCCAAAACTTCACCAACACTGGGCATGGAATATTATTAGCACAGTGCTTCCAGAGAGTGAATCACATTTTTGGGAATTCAGCAGCATTCACGGAGCTCTCGCAATAGCTACCTAAATTAATAAGAAGAGGACAGAAGGCAGAATTAATGCTTTAAGACAATTATACTCACAAAGTAAAATATGTTAAGAGTTGGGAGAAACCTCATGAGATTTTGGCAATGCTCACTATCAATACAATATTCCTCCTTTCTAATCCCACTGTGTCTTTAATTTCTGAAACCTCTAATCATAAGCACCAAGTAGTTTATTCTTTTGCCAAAGCTCTTCCGCCAAATCTATTACTAGCCACTCGTGGAAAGGAACACATCATAAACTAAGCAGAAGACAGTACTTTCTCTCACCCTTTTAAATGTCCAAGAAGTATTTTTCCATCTTTAATTTTAGATTCACAGTCCCTGCCTCACTTTTCTCTGTACAACAGACATCTCTCTCCTTATCTTGTAGAAACAGGTTTACTATTTACATAACCTCAAAAAGATCTTTTTTTGAGGCACATAAATAAAATGTTTGCAGTTGCTTAATTTGTAATATGTCTTTTCCCTTTGTCCCCTCCTTTGTACTTTCTCCAGTTTTGGACATCCTTTCAGTTTCCAGGGATTGAAAGATTGAAAACTGCTTTCAGCATTCCACAGTGATTTTATCAATCCTGGGGAGAAGTAAACAGTACCATAGGAGCTGTGTAAATTACGGGACTTCCAGTTCAGGTGCCTTTGTACATAACTTTTTTGTTGTGTTACAAAAACCCCAAACAGTTCAGTTTCACTGGTGAGACAGGAAAACTTCTCACAGTTTCACCTCCCACTTGCTGTACATTAACTGTGCAATTTCTGCATGTGATTCTAACACTACAATTAAAAACAATTCTGATAGGAATTTGACAGGGCTGCCATATCAGCAAAACCTTAAAATGGGAAGAGGAAATGCCCATCTGGCAAAATATCACCAGGCATAAGAGCTGTTCTTAACCAGGAGTGGCTAGTTACTGATAAAACAAACCAGAAAAGCAAAGCATGACTAATTGGTATTGTCTTGGCTAAATCTTGGGGATTATACTGTCGTTTTGGTATGTGACGTTTGCAGACAAAATGTTTCCACGGTTACACAAATGCACTTGAGAAATTTCTTTTAAAAAAGGACCTAAAATAAATTACATCACATCCAAGGCTTCCTATTTATTGGTTAAAGACCTTCAGTCTCTAGAACTCACAACGATGAGAAACTAAATCTTGAAAATATTTTTACAAATTAGTTTTTGATTATGCTTTACATATGTTGATTAATTTAGTCTCTGTTCTAGTCCCATATAACTGGCTCTCAACCTGTCATTTTAGGTTTTATATCATGGTTAATGAAACTAGTAAAAATACAATTTTTCCATCAATAAAATAAAAATTTACAATATGTATCTAGGGTCTCAGATAACTTCACCAGCAAATGCGATCGTTCTACCCACCATCGGAAGTCACTCATCTCTAGAGGGGAATGATGCAGCCATTAACATTAACACAATAACACACATTAACACTGCACTATATTTCATAGGCTGGATGAATCCATGCAGGGTGCATTTTCAGCCAGGGACCCTCAGGCAAAAGAACATGACCAGCAAAATCACAGGAAATGTAGATAGCTGAGAAAGCCTAGCGGAAATTTTGATGGGAACATATGACCTTGAAAAAGGGTAATGAGGATCTAAAAAATCCCAGGATCACTTAGGTTGGAAAAGACTTCTAAGATCATCAAGTCCAAACATAAACTTAACACTGCCAAGTCCCACTCAACTGTGTCCCTAGGGTGTCACATCTACAGTCTTTCAAGTGACCTCAAAAGAAAAGGACATCTGTTAATGCATTATTTGAAAAATGCCACCTTCAATAACATAGCGTTGTCTGAGACAATGCCAGGTTATTACACGTCTCAATACAGACTGTGAGAAAAAACACAGTCTACTCAATTATGAAGTCAAATGCCCTAAGCATGCCAAGTCATCATTCCAAACTTTCTTTATTTAAAGTCCTCATTACCTCCTCAGACAATTGCAAAGTGCCGTGCAATTAATTCTTTTCTTTAATAGATTGCTTTTTTTTTTTAATATACCCAAGGAGCAAAAGAATGTAAAAAGTACTATTGAACTGTGGTATAATAGTGTGTGCTTTTACTATCACTAATAATGAGTAATCCCTATTACTTATTTTTTTTCTTTCTAACATCAATGTTGAAGATAATGATACATCCAGCCCATTCGTAACGCAGTTCTGAGTGTATATCAGCTTACACACAGTTTTAAAGATAAAATCTTGACATCAACAAAGACCTCCTTAGGCTGAGCAACTGATAAATTATCAGAGTAGTAAGGAATGTAAGAAATACTGATGACATAACCTAGCACAGTGCTTGCTACTAATAATAATGATTCTGCTGTAATAAAAAAAAAATCAAACACAACAATACTGTTACCAATTAATTTCAAATATTGTTTAAAGGAAAAAATGTCAAGACAACGGTCAGCACTCTCCTGACTGGCAGGGAAGAGGCAGTGCCGAGAACAGACACTGATGGGGCAGCACGTGCAAGGAGAGGAGAAAGTGTGGCAGGGTGTGTAGCAGGTTGAGGGATGAACGGTAGAGTTCCTGTGGACAGTGGACACAGGGAAAAGGGTAGGGAAGCAGAAGGTGGTGCAGATTGCTCTTACCCTCTGGAGCAGTGGCTATGCATGGAGGATGACTTGAAGAAATAAATAAACTGAATAACCACATTCAAAGACAAACGGTGGGATCCCTACCAAAACTTTTACTACACACCTCAGAAATGCCTTCCCAGACAGTTTTACAAAAGCAAGTATGTGCATGTGGGAGAGCAGACTGTGAGATAAAGTTTATTTCTCCATATATGGAATCCTAAACAGTAAGTGGTAGAAGATTAGCACCTTATATCTCTTATTAACATTATAAATATCTGTATAGTTAAGACCATTAGCACTCCACAATTAAGTTTCCTTTTCAACCTTTTCTACAATCCTGTGATTCTATTTCAACCTAATGGTAACATCCTCCATTGTGTCACATGTTGGGGTTTGTATAGTACAGCCAGCAACTATTTACTTGTTATCCACAGTAAAATCAAAACTGTACAAGTATATCTGAATTTGGGGGAAAAAAAAAAATAAAGCCCTATTTTGATAGCTTTTTTGAAAACCAATATGCTTTGGTGGAGGTGAAACTGGTGGATTATGCTTGCAATTAATTCTTTTTCATAGTTTTAAAAGCAGAAAATAATTGGATTAAATAATAGGAAATCTTGTGAGACAGCTGATAGATATCTACTAAGCACCAGTTCTAGCAATCTCCTACTTTAACAACCTGATACAGAAGATTTATTTTAAACTCAGCAGTGGTTGCATTACTTCCAGCCTTTCAAATGACATATCCTCAAGAAAGTGTGATAAAAGACACACTTCATCATTTGGCCTTACAATCAACAAATTATTCTCATTACAGCCATCTCCAGGAGTACAGAGAGTAACCAAGGTACTTGTCTAAGGTGAATGTACCCAGGAAGTTTCATGATACAGATGTTGATGACTTGCACCGCATGAGCCTTGGGTGATGCTCCTCCATCCCAATGCCTCCTCCACCTTGCCTGGGCAATCATCAGCAGAGGACGTGAGGCACCAAGCTGGGATGCTGTTTTATTTAGACTCTGAAAGACTCTTTCCTCAGAACTGAAATCAAGGTGACCCAGTTGTAGCAATTTCCCTTGTTTTTTTCTCATTAGCTCTCTGAACGATTCTACTTTGCTTAACAACTAGCAAATTCACACACTGCTGCAGGAAAGGACCCATCTATGTGCAGTATGCAGCACCGTGAGGTCCCAGATCCAACTGTTCCCATGGGACAAATAGTTTGTTACAAGATGACTGGACATCTCTAACGCTCTTGAATATATTAGTCTAGCGGTTTTTCTACCAAAATGACAGTGTCTATGAAGAACAGAGTTTTTATTAGGATATATTTGTAGAGTAGAAAAATGCATCTGTAAAACTGGCAAAACCTTGACAGAATGGGGATATGCCATAAATACTGCAAATTTAGCTTCAAGTAACCAGCCAACTTCTCAGATGAAAACTCATTTTTAAAAAACATCTTCTCCTTCCACACACAATATAAACTGTTTGTGCACTTGAAACCACTTCTGCCTTGTACTGAAAGGCATGACCCACGCTACAGCTAGTACTGTGAAAGGTGCTGAACAGACTGGAGACGCTAGTCACTGAACAGCAATAATACTTGGCAAGTTCTTGTCTCCAAGGCTTATGCTCACACCACAGCCCTCACTCTATATACCAAAACTGGAAAAATCCATGAAGCATGACCAACCACTGGCAATGTGGATGGTTTTATTTTCACCATCTTTATATCATTTTCATCATCTTTAGGCTAACTCAGTCCTTTCCTTTCTATAACTACTAGCCTATAATGCAGTCCATAGACCACATGACTTAAGAGACATACACCAAAAGGTCAAGGTCTAGGAGAGGTTTGATTCATTGGATTCAGGGTTTTTTCAGTGCTTCAGGTTTTTTCCCAGTGTTTTCAGTGTTTCAGAATCTTTGTTTTCAGTGCTTTTTTTATTTAATTGGGAAAAATAAGAGATACACAAATAAACAATATACTATCAAAGATTATCAAATATGATTAACAAATTTAGCCTTAGACTAAAACAAGTCAGTAAGTCATGAATATTAAGAAAATCATACCAGATGGCAGGTCATCCAAAGGAAACTCAAACAACTTGGATTTGTAAACAGAGTGGAAATGGAAGTCATCCTGAAATAGTAAATAATTGCATGTATTAAACCTGAATAACCTAATTCATCCCATGATCATTAAACAGACAGTTCCAAAGGTCCTTGTTATCCAACGCCCACATTAGTGAACATGCGAGTTGCAAGGCACCACTATTCTACACTCCACTACACTACACTTTTTCCAACTGTGATGTGATTGCTAATGCCACAGCTAATCATCTTTTATCTGAAATATCTGAGTATATCAAACAGAGTGGATGAGCATACTTAGGAGTAGGCTTAAGAGAGCTGCCCAGGGAGTATCAATGAGAGTCATAGGAGCTGCTGAACTGGAGTTGACGCCAAACCAGGAGGAGAGGGATGTAACAAGTCCAGAGCAAGAAGGGGACAGGTCACCCACAGGCTTCTGCTGGCTCCAAGGGACCCTTCATCAACCTCCATTGCTACACTGCTCTACAAACAAGTGTTGCAGACTACACACATATACACATACCACTGCTGAATTTTTGGAGGCCTACTTTTGTCTGTGATGATATTCCCTCACACATTAGGTAAAAGACTTGGGAATGAGGGCACGACCCTTCAGTCTCAGAGCTTTATGCCTACCCTATACCCATGAATGTCTGTATTCAACAAACAACACAGTACGACTACTGTAAGTTCTACTTACATCTGAAGTGTAGTTTTCATCTGGCTCAATAAGGTAAGTATGATTTCCATCATAGAACATCCCACTGTCAAGAGCAGGAAATGAAAATACTGATTTAATAAACAAATACTAGTGCAACACGGAAGTAAGTTTAAGAAGTTCATATATTTTAAAAATTTAAATATTTAGAAAGGGAGGTAGTTAAAAATGGTTTCAGGAATTGAACATAATCCTAAGTCATTCTTTTGTTTCTTTGCTTCAGAAAGAAAGATTGTCTTCCACAGTGATACAGTCTTCTTTCTTCCCCAAAGCTTGTCTACAACACATATAAACACCACAAAAACTGAGTAATTTAGTCAACTGAAAATTCAGTTCAGAGCCCCGACTCCCATGCAAGAGAGATCCACCTGCAATAGATAAATAAGGGACCTGTCTTTAGGAACATGCATATTTGGAACGTGCACACAGCTTTCCCCCAAATAAGAATATTATTGTATTGGATTGATCCTTAGGTTTTAATAGTTTTGATTAACTCTTTCCTGGGTAATTTCTTTTGGTACCGAGTACAAAGGGCATAATGGGCTCTTTTTGGGCAGAGAGGGCTGTTTTGGGCATTTCAGCAATAAAAATTAAGACAGGTGGTATTTTCTTTCTAAATTGATTTAGTTTAAATTTATATTTCTAGGAAACATTAATGGCTATATGCATTATCATATCAAAACAGACATGGTATGATATTCATGATTAGGAGATAGGAAACCCCATCAGACAAGCTTCCAACATGTTGTGGTGAAAAGAGATGCAGTGGACCAAGCCTTCTGCCATACCCATGGTTCTGGCAAAGTACTGTTGCTCTCTTTCTTAATGGCATAAAATCTTCTCAACCACAGAAATTTGAAGGTCATTCCTGAAAAGCACACCACTATGTATCTCAGAAAATCTGTCTCTTTGCTTGCCCAAACACAGTCACCAATTTTCCTTACTAAATTCCAACACACAGTTCAACTCTAAATGAAGAGCAAACCAAACTGTTAATGCTTTTTAATTGGATGAAGATAGTCTGTGGCAGTAACACAAGATGCTTTTGCATTACCACTCAAATGTACAGCAAAGGTGAGGTCCCTTCCTGCAAGGATGTTTTCTACTGAGTTACCTTAAATTTACTTAGGTATAAACAGTGTACTGAGGTTTAGTCTTTAACGTAATGCAGGATGCACAAGTGTGGTTGAATTGTACCTTAAAAGAAAGTGTTGATACAGATATCACTCTGTAAGAGCATAAAAACCAAAGGGCATTTCTTATATCCCTACCATTCTGATCTTCAACCAAGTCAGCTTTTTAATAATTTTGCCTTTATTGCAGTGACATACACGCATGGTTGGGATTAGGCTGTATCAGCACGTCCCTTTCAAAGTGTCACTGCTAAGGGCTTTAAAGCTTGGCCACAAATACAAGCTGAAAATTCAAACTTGGCACGTAGTACACAACAGCAGCATGAAAGCAAGATTATTTATTTATTTGGATTAATCTTTAGCAAACTTTTAGACATTAAAAAAAAAATTGTAATTATAAACAACAAAACCAGATACTTTTAATTTTTTTCCTTATGCAGCTTTTGGGTTTTTTAATCAGCAAAACTGATTCTGGTTCTGCACAACGGTTGCACTCAACAGCACTGACTTCTGACCAAGTCACTCAACAATGACAAGAATAACAGTCACTGCACGTATGGAACAAACGGGCCAAAACCAGCATAAACCAGCCAAAACCAGATCAAACCAGCACAAACCAGTCAAAACCAGATCAAAATGGTCAAAACCACTTCAGGCATTTCTACTTTCCAGTTTCACAGAACACAGCAAGCTTCAGACTAACTAGCTGGGATATTCTAGTATCTTGTTATAGCCAGCTCTGGTTATTTCAGAGGACAGTGCAAGAGCTGCTATCACAGATAAGTAATTCACCAACAGGCTTTTCTCTTGTCCTTGTGAAGTTAGGTTTGATGTCATTAAGACTGGAATGTATTTTGTACTTTCTGATATGCCAGCAAATTTGAGAAAGGACAATACTGGCCTACAAGTACTCCTGACTAGATGGGCAGGAGAAAATGATCTGCTCTATCATCAGAAATCAAATCTTGAAGAGACTAGAAAGCAAACCTTTGAAATAAGGTCACTGTGTCTTACAATTAAGAACCAATTCAGTGTAATGGCACAGTCAGTTTTTTAAAAAAATTAGAAAATTCTGTGATAAAGACTGTGGTTTCCCACTGAAATTAATAAAGCTCACAGTGTTCTCACAGAATTATATGATTTGAAGAAATTATGGGAGAATTTTCATTTACTAAATTCAGCAGGTTTGACACTTTTTTTAATTCAGCTACTTATAAGTTCAGAATATTTCCTTAATATTAATAGTTATAAACTTTTTACAGTTTGATTTAAAAAAATAAGTAAGAACCCAAACAACAAAACTTAAAGAAATATCTTGCATACATGTATTCTAGAGAGTGTAGGCAAGAGAAATCTGTAAAATTAAAGCAATGCACTTGTCTATCTCTCCTTACATGTTCTCAAGCTGACCTACAGACTGACTTGCCCACTCAAAGCATTCATGGCTATTTTCTAACTGACTTCAACAGTCCAGTGCTCTGGGAACAAATCACACACTCACGGATGTGTTAGAGAGAAAGCAACAGCAAAACATGGGCCATTTCAAAAACCTGACTGTTGATTACGTATACTGTTCAAACAAACAATTTTGTAGGCGCGAAAGTCTCATTTGCAGCAATAACAGCAGATTTTACATTCACCACCAGTGGGCAGCAAAATCATAGGCCAACCTGGTGTCTGTGCAACTCGACTCAAACACAGCGCTGCAAGTCATGCCTGACCATCGCTTATTTATATCCCAGCAACCAGTGTGTTTTGCATTCAAAGTTTTTTGTGTTAACTCATAGGAAACTGTGGTTACTGCATATCCCACAGAAAACAACAAAAAAAAAAATCCAAAGGAAATAGCTCGCTCCAAGTTAAGGTTGAAGAGATGTATTTTCCATAAGCTAAGACATGAAGAGAAGAAATTCATAATTCTAACTATCCTCTCAGCCAGTCATCCAATTAATTTAACTAGTAAAAGGAATACCACAACACAGACGTTACGAACAGAACTCATAATTTATTACTAAAAAACCACAATATTTCCTCACATCAACAAAAATTCTGCTGTTACTGGCCGAGATCTCGGGATACTAATAAGTAAGAGAGGAGATTAGCATGAACTTTGGGAATACGAAGCTTGTTATTCTTTTAAAGGCACCTATTCTGTCTTATACACTTCCTAAAATTCATGAAAGCAAAGCTCCTGCCCTACACACCTTATTAGAAGATAACTCTCCTGAGCTTCCCTTATTCCAGCTCCAAACTGTGGTTGGAGCTAAGGAGCTTTTACTGCCAGTGTGAGTTTCTAGTAATTACTTAGCATTTAAAATCGTGTGGAGGAGCTAGTTGTAAAGATGGAAATGAAGTGTCAGAAATGTGAGTTAGTACAACTCAGGATAACATTACTTTCTCATACTGGATGCTGGAATTACCAGCCTGCCATAGTAAGCTTCATATTGCATCTTCTGTGAAGGATAACTCTGCTGAAACGTTACTGTACTGGGGGGGGGAAAAAAAGGTACCTCTCAAGGGAGAGCTGAATTATACAGGGAAAAAATGCACCTTTCATCACATAACTGTGTAAGAACACACCACTTTGAATATCAGTCAGTCTAAGAATACAGAGTAGCAGGAGGGTCAGTCTTAAGAACAAACCCACAAAACGAGGGCAGGAAAGGACATATATGCAGGCTGTCCTTCCTTTCTGCTTTTTCTCTTAGGAGTTAGCAAGGGCCAAGCCCTAATGGATCACTGCTAATGGAAGCAATGCAGTGGTTCAGGATGCATTAGGATGCTACTATTTTTAGGCTCACTGTCCATACTGAATCTGAGCTCAAGTTTCTTGAGCTGCACAATCTCTATCATAAAAGAGAGAAACTCAGCTGTAAATCAGACAAGTGCAAGGATGACAAGTCTTCCGCATGCACACTCTCCCCTCCTAACAAAGAATGTACAAATATAAAAGAAAGACACTACTTAAATATGTGGATACCAAAACTACAGAGTAGTTGGAGACAGACAGACAATAATCTGAAGACAACTTCCATCAGCCAAGCCCTGCTTCCTCAGAAAAAGGCAAAGCTCAGGTAATCTCCACAGAGGTTCACTTGCTCCCATGACTTTTCAAGCTGAACTCAGTATGAAAAGGGCTGAGATCCTGGAATTCCCAGAGTTAACAGACACTGAATTTACTTGGTTGCTCTGAAAAACTGACTAGCATCTTATAAAAGTAGACAGGTCCAAAAGCTGTGCACAGCTTTTGTACACAGCTCCATGTAACCTTCAGAAGACAGACGCTTTAACTCTCAATAAAATTATGTACTAAAAAAAAAAATATTTTATGTACTTATTAAAAAAAATTGCACAATTTTATAACATTTCTTCAAGATTTTCTAAGATTTTACTATATCAAAGGTATTCTCACACACACACAGTTTAAGGCCAGCAATTCTCTGAAGAAAATAAATAGGAGAAGAGAAACTCTAACACTTTCCTTTGTAAAGAGAGAGGAAAAGAAAGATAAAACACATCATTGTAGCAATAAGAAAAGAGCATAATTTTCAAATGGTTCACGTCAATGTTGGCAGTGTATTTTGTTCTTGTAGAATAGGGTGTTTTCAGGTATTTGACTCTTCTACCTCTAACAAGTTATCTTAAAACAATACCTGGCCACAGTCATACATCCTCAGTTAAAAAAAAAAAAAAAAAAGAAAGTAGACTTGCATGCTTTGCCAGTGAATTCTGAAAATAAACAAACAAGGCTTTTGCAAGGTTCAAATTAAACCCATTTTTTCTAAAGATTGTTGAGTACTTAACATTAGTGACAAACCAGTATGAAAATAAATAGCACTTATTTTGTTACAAACAGCTGGATTTCGCTTAAAAGACTAATAAGCAAATGACAATAAAACCAGAAGAGCAGACTTACTGTAATCCATGGCACGTTGACAAGGCAACAAATGATACAGGATTTCCTCGAATTTGTCCCTGATAATAGCAATGCTCTCCTCCCTGAAATTGGAAATTGAGACTGTAAATGCATGACATCCCACAGTATCACAGTCTGCCCTGTCAAACAGTGCTTTTTCATAAAGACATTGCCAACCCACTGACATGGCACAAAGAACTCACTATCACTCACAAGGGTGTTCATCCTATCTCCTTTTAGCCATGGTTTAGTACCTATACACACATCACCATTCCAACTCCGTCTACACTGAATGGAGATGGATATTTTCAGTGTGGCAACCTGAGAGAGATTGCAGAGACAAATTACTCCAGAAGTGCTCATCTGTCTTCATTGACTAGGAAAAGATTTGGAAATATGGGGCTTAGAGTCAACACCTGGTCTGCCCATGGCTACATCGGACAAGATGAACTTTGCTCTGAGGATCAGATAATTTCCTAGTGCTGAGGAGAAAGCTATGCTTATCAAATAACAGTATTTGATTAAAAAAGAGAACAAATCAGAACTGCTCACTAGTGCTCCAAAACTAATGGAAAGTATAACCAAGCAGTGAAGGAATACAATGAAAATTAGTATTTGCCTCTTCTGCAAATAAAATATACACCTTTCAAACCAAATCCAGCAGACCTTACTCAAAAATCCCCCCATAGTTTCACAGAAGTCACACCGATGGCAAAGTAAGCCCTACTGCTCACGCACTGAATGTAGCCAGCATTGCACAATGTCAATATTTGTATGTAAAATTAGAAAAACAATTCTAACACCCCTTAAATTCTCACTGCTGAGGAACTTTCCTATTAGTCCCTTGGCAAATTTGCCTGTCATATTATTGCACTACTACTGGTTGAAGGACTGTGAAGATTTTCAGTGGGGTTTGTTTGTATATTTAATAGCAACACTTTACTATTTCTATTCCCTACAAGCAAATATATATATAATCTACCTAGCCTAACGTATCTAGCCATGTGAATATTTATGTCCATTTGCTGCAGGGAGGGAAAAGCATTACAATTACTGCTTTTTCAGAAGCTGGCAGTCACCAGCATGATGCATAGCACAGTGATTTTTAGACATCTGACATTAAATGCTCTTGGATTTTGTTTTTCAAATATGAAAAAATAAATTCAATTAAGATCAGGCAAAAGGCAAGAAGACACACAGAATATGTTGACAGTTTTGTGTTTTGATTAGGAAATCTTATTCTGTTTTCTACAAGGCATGCAAACTATTTCTGAAAGCAACTACAAAGTACAGATGCTTCTGTTGAGGCGCTGTCCTTGAGAGAGTACAGAAACCTGTTTGTCAGAGCATGGCTGCTTGCAAGGAAAGAGACCTGATCTGAACCCGGTCACTGGGAATCATTAGCTTCTCCTCAAAATCTTCTCTGGAGCACTCATGCATGCCATGCTGCTGTTGGACACTCCAAAGCACTTGGTGCAAGGCACCTGGGGCAGTTGGCAGCTGCCATGACCAGCATCAGCAGTGCTCCACAGAGAAACGCAACACCTCACCTGACAGGCTATGTATGGACTGACGCTATTTGGCAGGCTTGCGCTTCACTCTGCGAGGGGAATCCCTGTGGCATGTCTTCTGTTAAAAGCGCTACTTTTTTTTACCAATTTCATTATTTCCTCTCTTCTACACATCACTTCTTCCTTCCCCCTGGTGCAGTGACAGAAGCCACCTCCACTGTCTGTCCACCTCGGCCTCTTTTCCTCTGTGTACCTGGTACCGATACAGAACACCTTCACCGAACTGACCTGCAGAGTGACCATCACGTTACCCACCACGGGCACCTCTCTACTCAGATGTTTGTAGAAAAACACTACTGGTACCACGGAGGTAATGTTTGACAGGCCTTGTTGACGTTTATCTGGCTCACGTCCATGAGAAGCCCAGAGACTGACCCTCTGCACCAGGCTACGGCGGGGCAGCCGGCAGGAGATGTACGACCTGTCACACTTAGACCAGCATTTCTCAGGACAACTGTTTGGAACCCAGAAGACAAGTGAAAAGGAGATGGTTTGAGATTCCGCCTTGGACTCACATGCTTTTCAGACACTTACATCCTAAATTACATGGGATTTTAGACAGACTACATCTTACCTTGTTTTTCCTGAAACCTTAGCTTATTTTCTCTATTTTATTTTCCTTTTTTAAACCTATTTACTTCCTATAGACCTCAGTTACTATAAATTAACCTGAGATTATCTTTCTTTCCATTTGTAGGATGTCCCCCATTGCCAGGCCACAGTACTGCTTAGGGCTTTCAGAATACAGAAATAAAATGTAAACAGAGACTTCAGAAAGCTAGTAACAAAACTAACAATCAAACTAGATAGATGTGTTAACACCTTATGAGTAATAAAATACTCTCTAAAAAGAACTACTTCAGTAGTATTCTGGCAAAAGATACAACTGGCATAAGCACATGAATATGGGAATAATATTGAAAAGAATATCAGTAGGGAGTTGTACAGAGTTCTAGCTGTGGAAGGAATTTGGAGTAATTAGACAAATCAGTTCGTTCTCACAAAATGTAGCTAATATGAACCAGAAGTAGAATCTCAGGCTTCATTAGTTTGCAAAACCATGTCTTTCTAACCAGGAGGAACATTTTTTCATACTAAGAATCCAAGTCTGTGGCTCAAAAGTGTGTTTTGATCTTCTTAATGAGAATCAAATAAATGCCCCATGATAGTAGCTCCAAATTAATTTATTCCATAATAAATCCATGAACAATTTTTATGCATGCAGATCTAGAAAAGAAAAATGTAAGAAAAACAGCTCTAAATTCTTGCCTAGGAAAAACACAACTCAGACACACAAATTCTATTCTATTTAATCAAATCAGTTCAAGACACTCTACTGACGTTCACGGTAATTCTGGTGGAGATAGAAATGTAACTCTTATCTTCTCAGTCTCAGAGACCAATTTGTACCACTACAAAACATGTATTTCTAAGTGATAACATCTGGGGGATATTTTTTACGCATGGATTTAAGTTCCTATCAACAAAATGTAAGTCACCTCAAACCAGTTAATAACTTTTAAGGGGTTTAAATGAAAAGGTTTTTTCATGTACTTGATGCACTAGTGGTGTGGTGTGGTATTTTTAAAGAGAACTCTTCAGTGTAAGAAATCCTGCTGTCAGTATACTCCATATGATGTTCTAAGGATTGCCATACTCTCAGCAAGGAAATGAGAGGCAATGCAGTGAAAGCAGACAGCACTAGCACTGGATGGCTCTGGGAGGAGTGATTGCTTAGTACTCCTTAACAGTGTCTCAAGCAGATTAAATGTGACAATGACATGTGGCACATGGTGGGGAGGGTGAAAATTGTATATAGTACTTTTGGGAAACTCATTTTCAACAGTTCACAAAAACTCCGAAGAGAAAAGCACTTAAAGCTACAAATTCTGGGACTAATTCTATACTGAGAGTCAGGACAACTGAAGGGACACTAGTTGCCCAGTGTCAATGTTTTCTTCAGAGCGCATGTGATTTCGGACAAGAAGTTTACCATCTTTGCCTCCCTGCAATACTGATGCTGAAATCCTCTTGGTTTTGGCACGCACTAAAGGTCCTCTATAGCAGGTGTTGTAATAAAATACACTGTACTACAGGATGAATCACAGTATATGGGGGATCAAAGACCACCAAAATATTAAACATAGAATCACAGAATTTTTTAGGTTGGAAAAGACCTTTGAGATCATCAAGTCCAACAACAAATATCTCTATCTTCTTTTACTCTGCTCTTGGAAACACCCTCTGAAGGGCTGGGGTTGTCTCTGTTCTATATTGGTATCTGTAGCAGTGAGACAGGAGCTGGGAAGAATCTTCAGTTCTTTCTAAAAATATTCTGGTCCCATATGAAAATTAAGACTTTCTCCAAGAGCTGCAATTAGTACCAATACCAACAACAGTCCAGAGCACCAAGGGTGTTTTGTGAAGAGCTACTGGCTTCCTGCAGCTATTAGACCCCCTCCCCGCGCTCTCAAAAACAGTCAATGACTGCCCATCTCAGCAAATCAAACCTCCACACTGGCCTTCCTCAGCTACTGGGGAATGGTTTAGACTAAGATGAAAAGGAAATTAAGACTGCTCTTCTAACATACGCCAGCTATCAGTGTGAGCAGGACATTTAACCCTTTCTGCCCTAAACCTGAACCTGGCCAGTGTAGAATCTGGGAGAAAATTAGGCTAAATATCACCTCGGTGAGACACAGTCAGCTTGGTGACACAATGCCTGTGACAGACCTACCAAAACACATGTACACACTCGCACTATACCCAAAGGCAGTTTAAAGCTACAACAGAACTTCAACATTTTTGCCTCCCCAACGTCTATAGCCACTCTTCATACTGTCGTTAGCATGACATAAGGCAAATTTTCTGCCAATGCCTGTGGCATGCAGTTGACTGTTTCCTTGGTTCAGTTAAGTTCTCTTAATGAAACCTCTCAGCCATACGCATGCCTTCCAAGAGCAATACAGAATACACAGATGTTTAATAAGAAGTCTATTGATTCGAGGAGCTAAAAATGTAGTAACATTCTACCCCACCCCACCCGAAAAAAAATCAGAATTACACCCGAGTCAATTAGAACAAATTAATCATTATGATCGTGGTCAGTTTATGACTTCATCTTCATCTTGGTGGTTAATTTGAGTAATTATAGCAAAATCCTGAATTAGACGTATCTTGCGCTGTGAACTGCTACAGCTCCTCGCAAACCAGCATGCAACCCTTTTTGCCCATGTCAGTCCAAGTTTCCCTGCAGCCTGTCTGGGTAGGTAGTATGCCAAAGATACTAAAAAAATGAGAAGGTAGAGATGTTAGCAATGCAAGTAAAATCTGTCCCCATTGCTATCCTTTAAGATAGTTTGTCCCTGCCCAGAGAGGCACCAGCTGCTAAGTAAACACGTAAGAAATGAAAAACACATTAACCGATGTTCACAATGAAGGGAGGGAAAAGTAAAGGCAAAGAACAGCCACAACAGCAGTGATGGCGGCGGTTCGCTCTTCTCTGCAGTCTCAGTGAAGAAAGCATCTGCTGACCACACACTGACACT